GGCGATCTGCACTCGTATGTCTTCATGGGTGTGTTTCTTTTTTTGGGCAGTCCTTGACCATGTGGCCTTTCTGCCCACAGTTGAAACACTTTCCCTCCTTCTTTATCCAGTCTATGTCCATTGGCTTTTCTGTCCCAGTGTATGTGGTGCCAGTTTCTGTCTTCTGGCTCCCATAGGATGGGGCCGAGGATATCCCTTGTGATTTTCCAGCAGTTTATCCCATCTTGTTCAGGGTTGGTGGGGTCGGCTTCTTGTAGTCTTGCAATGTCGATGATTCCACTTTCTGTCTTTGTCATTCTTTATACATCTTGATGATTCACCCCTTCCACTCATTATATCCAATAGGCATTAAGAGTTTAACACCCATGGTGGAAATCATTATGAGATATGAAGAAGGGACCCCTCTTTTGAGGGCCTCGACCATTCACCTGTCGTTGGTGACATTTTCTCGTATCCCTGCTAGCTTGGTGAGCCTTTCCAGCTTGTCAAAGTAGTCTGTCACTACTTTATCTCCCATTTTATACTTCTTGATCTTCTGTTTGTGTACTTCTTGCACTGCTGGATCAATAAACTTGTCATTGAGCATTTGCTTGAACACCAGCCAGAAGGGATACCAGTAATGGCCCTGTGTGATGGACCAGAAATTCAGAGTGATAAGGATCCACCAGGTTTTGGCTCTCTCCTCCAGATACAAAGCAGCAAAGATGACTTTGTTTATGTTGGACTCTAGGTATCTGACATATACCTCGAAATATTGCTTGCAGTTGATGAGGAACCTGTCGATATCATTGGAGGCTTCTTTAAAGGGGTGGGGTTTTCGAAGCAGGTCAGGGCGACATTGAAGGACATTGGCATTTTCTGGTAATGGTCTCATGGGATTGGGCCACCCATCGAAAGATGACTGCTGCCATTCAGTGGATGGACCAGGAAAGGAATAGAGGGAGTGGTCATCAGCTACTGGACTCCTCTTCGGTTCTTCCATCCGGATGATGACCCCATCTCAGACTGTAAATCCAAGGCAGATAGTCTTGGGATCATCTCTTATGGACTCCTTTCTCATCCTGCTGGTCCCTGCTTGGTCCAGAGATGGTTGTCCCCCCAGGAGTCGGCTTCTCTGGCCCATCCAGGGAGTTGGGTACCTTGTGCTCAGCTGGACTCAGGTTTCAGCAAGCCGAGTTGCCATAGTTCATACTGAGTAGTTGGAGTTTGTAAAAGTACTTCAAGATGATGGAGCCTAATATATGGCTCATTTTAGAGTGATGGAGGGGGTACCTGGCATTGGTCATATAGTGCGTAGTGCTGGATAAGCCAGAGATCAGCTGACTGGGTATTCAGGGTGCCGTTGATTGTATTGTTGGGTGGCATAGTCTGTTGCTGCCCACTTCAGAATTTCTGTTTATTTATTAGTTTCTGAATGCATGTATAATTGTCCTATTTGTGATACTACCCAAGTAGCATTGTGCCATAAGAACTTTACTCCTTACAGGTAATACTCCTAGTATTCCCATGCCCTTTCCTTCTGTGTCAGTCTTTTTACTTCTTCTTTGTTCATCTCTTCCTGTTCATTGTATGGTGGCCCTCTGGAGGGTTCACTGTCCTCTGTTTCATCATCCTCATTATCCTCGTCTTCTTTGAGGAGAAAACTGATGGGCTGGGCATAAATGCTCTCTGTGACCTCTTGTAGTATTGTCACCTTGCTCCCCTGGCTGGGTACTCATTCTAGCAGTGATAGTGACTTCATAGTTAGCAGCGGGTTGGCTTCCAATAGACAGGTCATACTGGTTTCCCCCTGTTGCTCTTGTTGCCTCCACTCGCTCACGATAGAGGTGGACGTTATGCCTATAGTTGTCATCGATGAGCTGCCTGACCACTCTACTTCCAAGAAAGCCTTGGAGGGTGCGGATGGGGATGTGAGTGTTTCTGGGGACCCATAGTCTGTAGTGTCCAAGGACAGACTCGTCGCTTCCGAAGGTGGTATTGGTGCTGGGGATGTGGGAGGAGGAAGGATACTCAGGGGTTGGAGCCCTTGGGTATTGCCGGGTCTGAGTGCTATCTGCCCAGTGTTCTGAGAACCCACTGCTTGGGGTACTAGACTCTCGGAAGACAGGGGCTGGTGCTGAGGGGTTGGCTTATATGAGGGTGAGAATACTGATACTCTTGGATTGTAATCTGTACCAGTTACTGACATTGGCCCTATCCAATCTGGCCCTTTCAATGGCCCACTGCTCTTCTCGGTGAAGCTCATCATACTGAGCCACCTCTTGCCTCTGCTGCTCACTGTCTGGGCTTGTCCTCTCTGCCTCATGATGTACTGGCTGTGGCTCATTCCACTGCCTTCACTCCTCCTGTCAAACAGCATTGTTGTAGTCAAATAGGAGAGAGAAGTCTCAGGCTGGGAAGTACTGACAGATGGTTTCTTCTCATACTTGTCATCATTGCTTTTCTTCTGTGAGAACCTGCTCCATCCAGGAGCTGATCCTGGTGAAGGGACAGGGGCTGTGAGGCTGACTTTGAGGAGTTCCAGGGCAGGATCGTCGAGCCATTCAAGAGGCATCGAGAGAGTCCCTGGTATGGTCAGCAATCCCATGGGTACAGGAGGCAGAATTGGAGGAGGGGGACTGCTGGAAGAAGTCCTCTGAGAGGTCTTTGTCCTCATGGTTGGGGGCCGGTCTTGGTACGAGTATACCATACCTTCTTGGAATGCCAATGTCTGTGTTTTTGGGTCGGGGGGAACATTGTTCTCTCGTTTCTTTCTCACCATTCCTCTGATGCATGCCATTAGGCCTAGCTTCTGAAGGCTGGTAGGTTGTTCTTCGGGATTCGGAGATGTCATGGAGAGGGAGGTCAGAGGTTATATTATGTAGAATGTCATGGATATGTAAAAATTCATTGTAATGTCTGAGGGCCCAGGCAGTGATTGATTGGCATCCTCAGCACAGCTGGATGATCACCAATAATCCTATCAATGTTCCAACAATGGAAGCAAGGAGTTTGAAGAACTTGTGATTGAAGTTCAGGTCAGTAGAGGTTGCAGGGGGCATTCAGTTTTTCAGCACAATTGGGCTTGAGAAAGGAAAGTAGGAAGCTTTGAGCTAATTGTTAGGCCCAAGCATCACATGAGCAAAACCACATGATAAACAGCTGTCCCTTCACACTTTAAGGGATCAGCTGAGTCCATGGATTTGGTCTTCCTTCTCTGTGACTCAAAGTCTGTGGTAGACTCAAGGTAGAATGGTAGTTATAAACTTTAGCTCAAAGCTGAGTTTATCCAGTGAGAGCTGCAGGTCTTAAATACAATGCAGGCTACTCTAATAATACTACTACTAATTGTGTCTTTCTGTGTCCATAGTGCCTATTGTCCTTGAGTACCACTACTGTATATAAAAGGCCAATTGTATCATCGAGCATCGTTGTTGTATCGAGGGATAATTAGGCCAGTTGTGATGATAAGCCTTCCCACAGTTCCTGTTTTAGTGTTGACTAAGCATAAATAGGAGTAAAAGCATAGAGAAAAAGATAAAATCATAACAGTCAGAGCCTAAGAATTTGAATGGACAGAACAGAGTTCCATTAGAGTGGCAAAGAGGAATATCCTTCAGAACAGAATCTGATGAACAAGATAGAGAGAAGCTGAAGTGAGCATGAAGTGTAGATGGCTATCCAAGTTGATATTCAAACTGAGTAATTATAATGATTGTACATGGTTTATATACTATTGGTAGTTAATTCCAAGTCAGGTCCATTGAGTTCTAGTGTGAATTGTTCACTACTGTTTTCAGAGTCTAGATACTACAATATGAAATACAGGTGTGAAATGATAATAGTAAAATAAAATTGATAGTTAATGGGAAGTGGGCAGAGTCTAGTGAGGCATAGTGATTAAATCTATGGTTGGTTGAAGTAGTGTGGAGACTAGCAGCATGCACATGACAGCTTCAACTCAAGGATGACATTGCTAATAGCTTTGTTGATGTTCATGCACTCTGCTGGCCTCTATGCATACATCCAACTTCATTCTTTTGGCACATTGAAATGCTGAGAAGTGGCACTAAATAAATCAACAATATGCAGGATGCACACCATCAGCTTTCTTTAATCTAATAAGCTGTCTCCATATCATGATGACACTCTCAAGACCCTCAGTAGTATGGTAGGACTTGATGTTGTCCTAGGCCTCCTTGGCTGAAGTTGCATTTCAAGTCAGATGGTATTGAGAAGGGAGGATATTGCTAACATTGGTAGCCAGAGCTTCTTTATCCCATCTAACCCAACCCTTCACTGCATTGGAGTTAGAGGACCCAAGTGGCTTGGGCTTGCTCCTATCAGTGACAGCTCAGAGCTTCTTCTTGGTGAGATCCATGCACTGGGCATAAACTCAATCAAAGTAATTGGTGTTGTCAAGGGGAGCAAACTGGTATTTAGACCATGCAGCTATGACAATGGATGTAGTGATGGAAATAATAAAATAACAAGATGTCAGATAGACACAGAATAATAGTAAAGCATGAATAAACACAGGAAACACTATAACAAGAGGCCATGGCACTACTGACAGCAAGCACAAGCAAGATGGTGAATGAGTGGGATAGGGGCAGGACCAAGAAATGAGTGATAGAAGTTAGTGGGGCTCAGGGCCTATAACCTGTTGGAATTTAGGTGCTAGTGATTCAGAAGGTGTATTGGACTCAAAGGAAGGGTATATTTCATCATATAGAGTAAGGACAGTGGTGGTTCTGAGTCAAGTCAATAAAGTACAAAAAAGATGTCAAAGTATAAGATAAGCAGTAAAATATATATAAATAGAATATGATATTAAAGCTGTGAAAACCAAATCTCAACAATATGAGCTCATATGCAGCTACCTGGTTGATTGATCAGACTAGGCCCCAGTCTTTATTGACATGCTGATCATTCAGGTCTCTATTCCCAGACCTGGAAACCTCACATACTGAACAGAGAGGTCTGCTAGTGCTCCAGTCTCTGCTAGACACTGAGACATCATGCTTGAGAGAATTGTGCCCTTATCAGGTAATTACTTGCTCATTATATCTTACTATAGTTGTGGTTACAAGGTAGCTAACTTGGTAAAAAAAAATGATAAACACACTCATTTCTCTACCTGGTACAGCTGCCTAGTGTATCAACATTCTTAACAGAAGGAAAAAAAGATGTGAGAGGCCACAGAAAAGAAGAGATTGAGGCTGGAGGCCAAGAAGCAGGAGAAAGAGGCAGCATGGGCACTTGCAGCAGCTGCAGAGTCATAGAGTGAGGGTGTCATGCTGATGGGGGTTTTCACAAGGTTTTCAGCTCTTGTGAGGCAGCAGATCATGATGGCAGCTGTGGAGACAGAGAAGGACAAGTCAGTGGCTATCATAATTCCCAAGAAGAGGGTGAAGTTAACTATAATCATCAAGTCTAGTGGTGAAGAGATGGGGCAATCAGGGCTAAAACAGCCTACTAAAAGGATAAAGTTGGTGCCTGAGATAAGAGAAAGGGATTGGAGTGGACTGCAGATAGTGAGTTTTCATTTCTTGTTGGTAGTTTTGTTGACTGGTTGTAGAATGATGTGAGCATTGTTAATTGGACAGCTCCAAATGTTTTGTCTGCAGCACTGGTTGTACTTGTGAGCAGTGTCAGATCAAAAAAGCAAAATGTACCTTCAACAAGGAGGAGGGTGCAATGATTTACAGTTCCACAGAGGTTACGAACCTCCTCCAATTGATGGCAGAGAAGATAGACCTAATAAGCGGTCTACTCTAGGCTACAATTGTAGGTTGTTTTTTTTGTACATTTTTTATTATGCAAACATAGGATAGGACTCCGATAGGAGTATGGCATAGCTAGCGCGCCACCAGTACGTTCAAACTAATCGTCGTCCTCCATGGTTAGAGTTAGTCTGTCTCGACATAGTCGAGCTACCGCTTCTCCATCGATAGGAATAGCGTTTCCTGAAAGTGAAACTATTAATCCCTATCCACGGGGGAGCCGTGAAAACACACCTTGAAATCCTTCCACGTACTTGGGGAGAGGTGTGCCGGGGCTGGTGAAAGACCTGAAAGATCCTCAGTAGTTTCACAAGAGGGACTAACGGTGCAACACACTGTGATCCCCAGAATCCGTAGTGTACCATACCGAGCGCGCGAGTGGTATATTCATAATCGTGGGCGAACCCTCCAGGGAAGAAAAACTCGATGACAGTTGACCTTGGAGAAGGATTCATCCACAAAAGCGACGTAAGACCATTTCCATGTACACCCATCATAATCTATGACAGTGAATTTGAGCACAACAAATAAAGTAGGCTCCTTACGGTCGTTCTTGCAGCCAATCTAATCTGCTCTTTTCGTGATAACTTGTCCATGCTAACAACGTTCACCTCGTATCCATATTCATCGCGTAGCTTATAGAGCTCTCTAACCAATCTATCGTGGTCCTCCGGAATCAACATACGGCGGCCCCATTCTTGTCTCGAGATATACGTTATAACGGGGGTGCTCAGAGTGCCACTACCAACGGCTGGTTCCAAGCCAGTGTATTTGACGACGTTGTTGCGAATTGGCATCCACCAATAAGCACTGCCGGGTAAAGGGAAAGCCACAGCAGCCGTTCTTTGGAAACGGGCATAATTGTGACCCATCATCGTGGCAGAACGGTCGGCTATGAGGACTCTTTCGAAAACAAAGGGCACTCCCATTGATATGCGATCTTTCCAGTCGTCTATGAATTCCATAGTAAGCGACGGCCAGGCTGATCGAATAAACCATTGGTTCATGGCTGCATAGTCACGCCAACGGGCGGCGTCAATGCGGTTAAACATGATGCGACGTGGAGGCGGAAGTGTTGTGTTGCCATCGTGGGTGATATAGTGGTCAAGAGAGCTGTACGCTCGCCAAAGTCCAAATCCTAGCTCAGCAGACCAATGATAGTAGTGGGTAATGCTACAATAATGCTTTAGTATAAGAATGAATCAGCACTCATAAAGGCACACACAATTGCTGGGGATCATTTATAAGAAACTAGAGAAATGTTAGCAGAGATGGAACAAATAAAGGGGTCGACGTACTGTTACTCCATCGATGACTTGGGCGGCGGTTCCAAATACAGCCCTGGCCTCCTTGGAGCTGATAATTTGGATGTCCTCTTTCGTGGGGAGACGAGACTCTTCTGCTTCCTTGCCGTTTAAGATTCGGATACCTTTAGAATAGAACTTGGAGACGTCAGGGATTTTCTGGGGGGCATCGCAGACGACATAGATGGTGCCATTATAAAGATAGAGCTTATCGAAAATGGTCCAGCCTGCAGGAATATGTTCAGAGAAAGAAACAACAGGGGGTCAAAAAGGAAATTCTCACCGGGAGCATGAGAAATAAGTTGGGTCTGCGGAACAGCTGAAGTCCCCCAAATTAACTGGGCGCCAAAAGGAGCCACATTGCTGGGCTCTGCGATGGTAATGTCTCCGTGGAATGTCAGAGGAACTGTCTCTATTCTACTCCGTCCTGAGGAAAAGAAATAGAGAACAGAAACGAGGACAACACAGACAAGGGCGAATTCCCGGCGCGTGGGGGGAGAAAGAGACATGTGTCACGCGTCACCGTCACGCACCAATTTAGCTTCACGTTCCTCAACCAAGGCAACAGCCCACCGTTCCCTGCATTGGCTGCGCGCATACATCGACCATGGACGGCAGAGACCAGTGGTATACGGATGGTAGCTCTCAAAGGGCGACAGATTCTGTCCACGAGTCTCACAAGCTCCTGGCCGTCTACCCTATGGCATCCGCGACGCCATCGACACACGGTGCGTATTATGCTTCTCGTGTAGACATCGTTGAGCTCACAGGTATCGATGCAGTTGCGCGTCATTTGAGCAATATGAGCTCTGTTGTCACGCCGCCATCATTCGTGCAGCCAAATTACTATTCTATGCAGCCGACTGGGTATCCTCAGGGCAATCCTCCACCATACACAGAGTACGCTCAAGAGTTGACATATCTCAACAACTCACATAACGTTTCTGCTGATGACTCTGGATACTGGGAGAGTACGAGAAATGACGCAGTCCGTTTGATACAAGAGCAGGCCGGGCCGTACGTTGTCTTTTTATACCATGCTGCTGAAAACTCAACGGACGTGTTAGCTCATATCCTTACCCAAATAACACACACTGGACTCCCTCCGGTGTCCCAGCATCGACCTATTCGACCAATTCACTAGCCCAATCGGTGTTCCAGCGTACGACTCCGACCTCGGCCTATCCGACCCCTCCTCCTCCTGCTATCCCTTCTTCCTCCTCCTCTTCTTTGGCCTTCGCTTTGGGACCTCTGCCCCCACGGAATGTGCAACCGCCTGCCAAGGTCTATACTCCCGAACAGTCGCAAGGGTTCATCAACGATTTTTTGGTCAAGAAAACGCAGGAAATCAAGGTTCGGGAACAACCCCAGCGTCCATCGACACCTCCTCGGCAACGGAACCCATCTGCTCAGGAAAGTCCTGACCCCTTAACCCTCGAACCGGTTACGCCTCGTATGCAATTAATCACCGTCACCCCTAGCAAGCGAAAACCAGTTGTTGAGCTCGTATCATCTTCAGTTAAACGCATACAATCCAAAGATTCGCTTCATACGCCCCACCGGACATCCGGGGCATCCCTTGCCTCAACGCCTTCCAGCTCTCGGACATCCATGTCATCCGTGCCTATCACCTCGAGTACTGTAGCAGGCCAGTCTACACCGAAACGAACCAAGACTATGGCATATGTTGCAATGCCTCGCAACCCTTGGGCGACTCCTTCTACCTCAGGCAAATCTTCGGTGTCACGAAGATTGAATGATTCTCCCAACGACTTGGGCGGATTTGGATCAGAAGACGGTCCATTCTCTAGTCCGATGAGAGGGACCATCCATGGTAATCGAGAGGATCGAGGTATGTTTTTTCGTCATCTGTATGACTGTCGTTCCTTATAGTGAATAGCTCCCATGGAAAAACTTGAGTCGTTGCTGGAAGATATATTTGAGGCCGAAGATGCTTTGCCTGCTGATCTCGACCTTGCTGATCTCGACATGGATTTCTTTTCGCCTGCTACAACCGATACTTCGCGGCCTCTTCTGCATCCAAATATTGTTCGTAAACTGAGCAAGTACATCGGACAAATTGCCAGGCCAAACAAGCGCGTTCGGCATGGCGGATCTAATGTCGCTGGAACGCCACGTAGTAAAGGCCGGCTGGCGGAAGCCACGATTCAGTCGCTTTCCCGGATTCTCAAACTTTTAGAGAGAACCGTCAGGACAGGAGAGAATTTGGATCCATTTGCTTATTCCGGCCACACAGCACAAGCATCTCCTCGCAAAGTCAGCCCAAAGAAACCCAAGGCACGGAAAACTGATCAACGTTCAAAGTCAAAAACCCCGGTAGGTGGTGAACAAGAAGAGAAAGTGGATGCCGTGCACGTCGACAACCCACCAAACTGCTCTCCGACAGAGAGCGACTTTGAAAACTTAAGTATGCAATTAGAAGCAGCTAAGGACAGCGTCCTTGCGGCAGAATGCTGTATAACTTTGTTGGGAAGTGATAGACTACCAAAACAGGTATTGTCCTCTCATACATTCTTTAGCGAAGTACGCTTACCGCCGCGAAGCTTTATTCAGAAGAACTTATTACAGCCTGTCTGAGCACCTTGAAAAACCAGCTCAACAAAGTCATTTACCCGTTTGCTGAAGCGTCTTCTGAGGCTGCCACCACTACCGCCAATCCCCTCCTTCTATATGTTATCAAGAACCCCACCAGTGGTGAATCAAAACGAAAAGTGTTGAATGAAACTTTCCAAACGTTGTCGGCATCCTTGTCTCGTATAAATGCTTTGATAAATGCGGAAAGCGTATCGATGTCGGATTCTATTGTCATTCAAGCGGTGTATATTGCGATTGGGCCTTTCTTTGTGGTGGAAGGGGACAGTGACTCCAAGGGGAAGAAGGACCAGAGTGTCGTCATCCGCACATTTGGGAAGAGTGCTATGCACGGTTTAATGCTTGAAGCGTTATCACTCATTCGTAGCGTGAGTTTCTATAACATTCCGTGCGCGGCATCCTAACGTGTCTGGTAAGATATTCGCAAGCCATGAGGGACAGCGGTCATGGATCATTGAAGAGATCTTATCTTCCTTGATCAAGCTGTCAGACTCCAAACAGAAGGCTGGTTTGTTTCGGTATATTTAGTACTGGTTTGCTTCGTTCACCCTTGTTCTGACTGTACCTCTTGCTCAGTCTACGTGATGGACGCTCCATTCGCACGGTATCGGCCCTACTTCTCCAACTGGTGCAGACGTCCACGCACGATGTCCGCATTCAGGCGAAAAAGATAGAGAAGGCTAGACAGCAGAAGGTTGCCCTGCGTCGTCAAGAAAGCTTCTCTGAAAGCCAAAGCCAGATTAGCCGTGAGCCGTTCTTGGATGAGCACGATTCCGAAGTATTTCTCATCGTAATATTACCTTTCTTCCAAACTGAGGGACTGATGTACCAGGAAATTCGACTCTATTCTTCTGGTCTAGATTCCGCCTCGAAAGCAGCGAAGGCAATCATCATCTTTCTGACGCAACGGTTGGTGTCAAGTTTGATTCTACACAAAACAGCCTTATTGATTTGGATCTTCACAGATCCGGGAAGGGAAAAACTACCAAGAATACGAATGAGGCTGAATATAGGCTGATCTTCGACAACTTGATTTCGGATGTGCTCGTCGTTTTGTATTGGCCCGAGTGGCCTGCAGCCAGCCTTCTTCTCAGTGTTGCGTCCAAATTTATGGTGCGTGACGCGCCATACCATCTACCACCGTCTCATCAAGGATTCAGGTAGCAGCTTTAGACGATGTCAAGACGAGTCAAGCCGATAACAATGCGGCCAAGACCATGGCATTGGATCACTTGGGTGTTATTGCTGCTCGCATCCGGTCAAGCGTACTTAAAGTCCAAGACGGAGCCGGCCACAAGCCCAAAGGTTTAAAGCCATTCGATGAGGTTCGGGCCTCTTTCCAACAACTCTGCTTTTCATTCACTATAGCATTCGCAGATTGTAAGCACCGTAGACTTGAAAGAGCTTGAGAAACTCTTGAGTGTACACCATGACATTTCAACGCACCTTTCCAAACGTTCTCTGGAAGATCAGGCTTACGACGTAAGTATCATTTTGGCTCTATCAAATGTGAAACTGAGTTTATATCGTAGAGCGCTCAAGAACTTACAGCGGCAACGCTCGGACATGAGCTTGCGAATACCTTGAAGCACTTAGGCACTCTTATAGGTGGAGATGACGATGGTGAACTAGCTATCCGCGACCGGGATACGTCCAAATTAGAACCATTCGGTCAGAAAGTAAAGGCCGCGCTCCAAACCGTCTGTAAAGATCAATCAGGTGATATATTTGACATAGGGTGGGTATTCAGTGGCTCTTAAGGGCATACAACATCTTAATGCCATCCTTGAACAGATCCCAGGAGGAAATCTCTCGCATTGATCGCTATGCAGAAGAGATAGGCACTATTCAAAGCCTGCGGAATTCTTTCCAGCCCATTCTTAACATTATACTAACCGCTTTGGATGCACCACCCATCTTCATGCGTACGAAAGCTCTTCGTGCTCTGGGACAGATTGTCCTGAGCGATGCTACGATCCTTTCAACGGTAAGGGTGACTCTGTGTACAAAGTTATCATCTTAATCCTGTTCCTCATAGCCCGGCGTTCGTAGGGGTATCGAAAGCCATCTATTGGACAGTTCGCCAGCTGTTCGTGATGCGGCAGTGGAACTGATAGGCAAGTACATGGTAGATCGCCCAGAGGTCGCTGGTGACTACTACCAGAAAATTGCTGAGCGTATAGCTGTGAGTCCATAATATTTACGCGATGATATCCATTGACTTGCTCAAGGACACCGGCTTAAGTGTCAGAAAACGGGTCATCAAGCTGCTGAAATCCTTCTATGGCGTGACCCGTGATTCCGAGCAACAAATAGATATCGCCACACGTCTGGTGCTCAGAATGCTAGATGAAGACGATACGGTAAAAGAGCTAGCTATTAAGACACTTGAGGAGCTATGGTTTCCTACTGCCATTCCTCTTCCGTCCGCGTTGAAGTCGAAGCCAACGAACAATGTTGACGACAAGAGTGCACTTCTCGCCAAGGTGTCTGTTATCATGGCTGTGTCCGGTCATTTTAAGGACCGGCAATCTCCTCTTGAAGACGTTCTGCATAAGATCATGGCCGGACGGCAGGAGTCCGAGGTACCTCTATTGCATTCTCGTTACACTGAGATTTGTGAATCCCTAATCGATGGTTTGGTGGATGCGTCAGATTTGCCCGGTTTTGTGCGTACCATTCTTTTATGTATCTTCTAGTCTTACGCTTTGCAGACTGTGCTCAACTGCATCAGAACAATACATCTATTTGCTTCAGCATATCCTTCGGTCCTCTCCGGATCTCATGCTTCCACGCTTCTGCCCTACCTGAAAAATCCCAGTAACGTAAGAACTCTCATAATGTACATATCCTTCTCATTCAGCTTCATTTTAGTCCGAGCAACAAGTGACCACCGATTACCTCCTCAAAATATTCCGCATTTCCATACCCAGGTTGCCGAAGACGACGAGCAAATTAGGACAAGAACTTCAAGCAGCTCTACAGCCCATGATTATAAAGCCAACTGCTGGACTCCAGGTGAAAAAATTCATCATTCATATCACCGAGATTTTTAAGTACTCTTTATAGGTTCTTCAAGAATGTATTGCCTGCATGTGCACTGTTGTGCACAACCTAACCCGCGATTTTGTGCGGATAGTGGCACTGCTCAAATCTTGCAACGGTCTGCTTATCCTTTTGTTTTACTTAAAGGATACGATCTGATGGTTTATGCAGGTCGGCTCCAGAAGGCCATCAGCGGACCGGCATTGGAACAACAAGACTTGAAGGGTATGAAAGCTTTGTCCATACTAATATTCATTGTGTCTCTCCTCGCGGAACATATGAACTTCGATGAACTTCGATCAGAGCACTCCGAACTAGCCGGGGAGTTGGATTTAATAAGCAAGGCATGTCCCAGGCTCCGGAACCGATTCTTCTAATACCTTATCCGTAGGGTTCGATCCTGGAGCACATCTATAACAGTCTCCTGAGTTTGCATCAAAAATACGCTGACCCTGATCTTCGCGGTCGAATTCTTCAATGTCTCGGTAGGTGCTGTCACCATGATTTATGGTCATACGTTAACGCCGCATATCAGGTTTTTTGTTTAGATCTCAACCCACGCTTATGACGGAAGAGCGATCTGCTAGCATTATGGATGGGATATTCCAATCCGGAAGCGAGGAAGCCCAAGGAAGATTGTTGAAGTTGCTACAGGAGTTTTTGGTTTCTGAGGCGGCGAAACATTCCTCCAAAGAGAAAGGTAAGAGCTTTCTTGTTTAGCGATAACTGCGGTATTCATTTTAAAAAGAAAGCGCCGGAAAACGAAGTACGAAGGCATCTGATGTGGATATGGATGAACTGATTGGTAACACGGATGGATTTGCGGATTCAGGGTAAGTGACATTCTCATAGTCAATCTGATAACATCACTGAGGTTTTCCCAGCGTAAGCTCTGCTGTCGTTCAGCGTTACTTGAACCATATCTTGGAATCGGCGTTGTCACTGCAGCCTCAGATACAAGCAGCTGCTATTGATATACTGAGCTTTACCATCAAACAGGGCTTAGCCCATCCACTTCAGGTATGTACATAGTTTATCTCGCCGTTGCAGCTCCCACTGACGTTTGCGCTTCGAAGTCCTTCCCTGTCATTATCGCCCTCGAAACTTGTCCATCGACACCGTTGAGCCATAGAGCCAACGCTCTACATTCGATCTTGCACACGAAACACAACTCGCTGCTCAATACCCGATACATTAACAGTGCCCAGGCTGCATTTGATTATCAATCAAAGATCACGTCCGGTGCCGTGAGAGGTTAGTGAGCCTGCACAAATGTACCATATTGTCTTGCTGATAATTTTGAAGGCTTCAAGATCCAATCATCGATGCCTATTGCTTTGTTGCAACAATGGTACTCCTTAGCAAGGGAAAAACGTTCGGGGCGACTAGACTTTTTGAAGTCACTGTCGAAAGTCTTCCAAGACCACTCCTCGACTTCCACGACTCAATCTGATATTGATTTTGTGCGATTTATGGTGGAGAATTTTGCTTCCTTTGATTATAAGACGCAGGAAGAAGTCTTCATCATTGTCAAGACCTTGACTACCGTTCTATCGACGAACGGGACACAGATTCTCGAGATCGTTTCACCTTCGCATTTGCTTTCCCATGTGAAGAAGCAACCAGCATCTGAAGCCAATGCGGTAAGCTAAATGTATATCGCCGCAGGAGAATCTGACCATGATTGACAGGCGGACATGAATGTCGACCCTGTCGAAGGATGTTCAACCGTCGAACCAGCACAGAACAAAATTCCCCTCATGCGTAGCACCGTCATCATTGGAATGATCATGGTGCTAAAGACTCACTTGAAGACATTGTATTCCTTATCTGAGGAGTAAGTTTTTTGTGCTCCGTCCACAATCATTTTAATTGTCCGCTCTAGGAAATGCAACAAGTTCGTCTTGGGAAAGAAGAGTATGATCGGTGATAAAGCATCTGTGAGACGGCACCAGAAGGGAATATCTTGGGATCGATTGCCTTTTGCGACGAGGCCGATATTGACCTCCAGCGATGCTGATGAGCAGAAGATCACAGTAAGCCAAGTATAAACCGGCGACATCTATGTTTGCTGATGATTGTGGTATAGTTTCTTAGCATCTGGAATGAGGATGGTCTGACTGCTGAGCCGGAGGATGACACCGTAGAGTTTACTTGATGACTTGATGCTAGTGCTTTCTCATCTTTCTGCTTATTCGGTTACATGCTGCTGTTACATTCTATCATTATTCTCTGTTATCGTTGTTCTTCGCATATTAGCATTTCGTGTAAACACCAGCCTTCTCAATGGAACTGATGAAAACCATCTGTTGCTTTCCTACTTCACGGCTGGAGTTCATGTCGCCGATCGATGAAGGAGTAACAGGTAGACCCTCGCTGGAAGGCATTCCACTGCACCATTGTTCGGGAAAAAAAAATGTTGCACGTGTACATACATCGATGAAGGGACGGTCAGCAGTTGGGGAAAAATTCTTTCGTGCTAAAAGGAACTCCATATACCACAGAAACAAGCCACTGGCAGAGCGTAATAGCGCCCACCTCTGCTGCTCACTCGAGCTCCACCAAGGAATAGCAACCAAGGGGAGCTGTTTACAAGCTCCTCAATCGATTAAGGCATCTACCGAGCAAGTCGGCACTGATCAGAGAGGCCTACAAAAAAGCTCCCTACCCTCGGAAACCGCTTTTAATTTACGACGATCATCCTCACCGCAATGACGCATGAAGGAGGACTGTTGTATCCGTGGGTCTCCATTCTACGGACCCAGGTCCAGGCAACCCATGGCATATGAGGAACCCCCAAAATAGGTGGGAGCCCATGTCTCGGGCATGCTGCCGTCAGTCATGAGGGTAGATACATCAACCGCAATTTTTCGTATGACAGCAAACATATTCAAGCCGATAGTCTGTTCGCCCCGCTCTCCCGGATCATATTATGGATATTCTTGTGAGAGATTATCAACATTATGTTCCTATAAGATAGAGACCGGGCTCACTGGCATGTATCTGGCCGTGGAACAAATCCAAGACCACCGCATCGTGATATTTTGACCGCGGCTATTTGCATCTACGGATGCCACATTCCTATGCTGCATATGATAGATTTCTCCGTTTATAACATAGAAGGAATTTAAAATTCTTCATGTCGATCGCGACATTGTCACTGAATTGGGTAATAGATTGGTCATGTGACCGTACTACCGCGAAGTTGATCTTTTAACCTGAACCTCAGAAACGCCGCTTACGGGGTCCTTGCCCACGACCACCATGTCCTCTTCCTCCTCTTTTCTTGACCAATACGAATCCTTAGATGTTATAGGAAACGGCTCCTTTGGGATAATACGAAAAGTCCGACGAAAAACAGACGGCCTGGTGGGTCGACTGCCACTAACAGACGGCTCTCCTTGTTGACGGCGCGATCCAGATATTTGCACGTAAAGAACTAGATTTTGAGCGCATGAATGAGCGGGATCGGAAACAGATTGTGGCAGAAGTGTACGTCGTCTCTAGCTCACTGATAGCCAGGAGACTTATCCGTTACAGAAATATTCTCAAGGACCTCCACCACGACCACATCGTTCGCTATCATGATCGCCATGTCGACCGTGATGCCGGAATTCTCTACATAATCATGGAATACTGCGGAGGCGGTGACCTCTCTAACATTATCAAGCAGGCCCTCAAGCATAATCGACCTATCCCGGAGGACACGATATGGAACTACTTTATGCAGATTCTGCTGGCTTTGCATCATTGCCACCATCCCAATGCGAATGGACACGGACGCTCGGGGAGCACAGGGAGCACAGACGGCGATAAAGAGAGGAGAGCGCAGATATTACATCGCGACCTTAAGCCGGACAATGGTGCGTCTGTTAAGCGCGGTGACAGCCCCGTGCCAACTTATCAGTGTCTATCTAGTATTCTTGGATGAGTCCGGTGCAGTGAAGCTCGGTGACTTTGGGCTATCTAAAGCCCTCGCCCAGGCTAGCTTTGCCAATACTTATGTTGGTGTGCGTGTGCTCCCTCGGCCATCTTTACGTACCCTGACGCGAAACCAGACACCATACTACATGTCGCCAGAACTCATGCAAGAGAAGGCATACGACTCTAAATCGGACATATGGTCACTGGGATGTCTAATATACGAACTATGTGCACTGAAGCCGCCTTTTCATGAGGCAAAGACGCATAGTGAGCTGAGCATACTCATCCGGTGCGTCTCTACGCCGTTTTCTACCGTATTCGCTCATCATCGAACAGTAACGGCCGGGTACCACCACTACCCAAAGGGTATTCCCAGTCTTTATCCGGAATCATCAGGGCCATGCTCAGTCTAAACGTATGTTGGCGCGTCGTCAGGATGAAGTGTTTCATGATGCATTTTCTGTCTACAGCCTGCCATGCGGCCATCTGCGGCCCAGCTTTTGCAACACGAACGTTTGGAGCTTGTATTCAAAGTTTCGGAGACAGAGCGAATGTACGTGCATTTGTTTTGCGCCGAAGTACGTCAATTTAAATGATCATGTAGACTCCAAAGTGTCAAGGTTCATAAGCACAACCTGTCCCTGCGCGAACGCGAGTTTCACAGCCGAGAATCCAAGTTCCTCAGCGAGATTGCCGCACGAGAGGGGGCTCTTCAAACACGTGAGGCAGGGCTTTCTATGGCGATCAAGCATGCCATAGCAGCGCGTGAGGAGGAGCTGCGGGTCCTTGTTCAACAAAGGGAGGAAGAGGTAGCAGTGGCCATTGCAAGACGAGAAGAAGAAGTAGCGGCGGCGATGAGGCGACGAGAGGAAGAGATCATTGCCAGCGTCAATGCCAGGGAGAAGGAGATATTCGAGGCCTGGAAAGAAAGAGAAGACGCTATGGAAGCGCGAATACGATGGGTGGAGATACGGGAAAGGGAGCTGGAAGAGGAGGCAAAAAGGGTGGAATGTGTGAAGAATGAAGTAGAGGCGAAGATGCAGGCCTGGGAATGGGAAAAGGAAAAAGGTGGGCTTGTATCATGGTCTCGACTGGATGACGGTATTAACTTGTTCCAGGGAAAAAAGGGCACCAGACGAGGCCCTTGGAGGAGGTGAAAAACCTTCTTGAGCCTTTAAGTAGACTCCACATGGTGCAACCGTCGACACCTGCGCCACCTAAACTACAAGCGCCGATGCTTCCGACGCCAGCATCGGCGATGCGAGGTGTGGTGCTCACAGACACGGGGGAGCTACTCGCGACACCCGCACCTGCAGAGCTATTTGTCAATACCCCGAAAGTGGGATTGAACTTTGTGCGTATATTCGACTTTGAGGACGACCCAGAGGATGGAAATGAGGAGACGAGCCCTGTGCCTGTGACACCAAGTCGCAAGCGGACGTCGACTTCGACGCGTGATTTCCCCTCTACGACGTCAAAATCCACGACATCTTCTGCATCGAAACCACCACCGACGCGACTGCGCCGACCATCGATAACGCTGTCGTCGACTTCGTCGAGTTCGAATTCAGATGGGGTGAAACCTCAGCCCCTGCAGCATCCACATTTGAAGCCTGCAATATCTCCGCCACCGATGTATGATCTGGCCGACGAGGAAAACCTACCTAGCCCGTTCCTGAAAAGGGCTGAGCGTGCAAATAGCATAGGGCCGAAACCGAAGAAGCGACCGAGTAACGGGAACCTTCTTCGAGCGGTTGCTGCGGCAAACTCTGCTGTCAGAAGCAAGTCAACCGATGATGCAGTAGCACGACCGTCTGTTGCGAGTGCACGAAAGGCAGGCGAAGAGGCGCGTAAGGCGTTGTACAGGACATAGTACGGGGGGAGTATTTTTATTTTATGGTCAACTTGCTTCCATGTTGTGTTCGATTATTGTCAATACTTAATTATTTTATTTGTTATGGATGCCGGTATGCCGAATCCGGGAACGGTCACGTGAATGCACATGACGGGAGGTTGGAGTTTAGAATTCTGTTTTTGGACATTGCTATTGTTCTTTGTCTTTTCGACCGCCTGTCGGTTACGCTCTCCGCCGTCATGGAGAACATCAATCCATCTTTTCGCTCGACGACGCCACGCCTCGACCTGCGCTGGCTCGCTCTCTCGTCTAACAACGACGCGGCAAGGATGCTCATTAGCCCTCCGCCGGAGGAGGAGCTCAGGATGAGCAGGGTGCGTGTGCTGTGCTATCCGTCGTTGCCATTTTTACTGACCTTTCCGCAGAATACGCCAAGATCGAGCTCACAGACGAAGCGTAAGAGACAGGCGAAGCAGCCGCAACAGTCGACACCAAATCCTAAACCACGGAAACAGCTACGAAGTCGTACACCTAGTCCTTCACGTACTCGTTCACCATACAAGACAGTTTTGCTACAGTCGCCACACGCGAATAACCCCAATGCCGACTACATTATGCCTAAAGCCTACCCTCGACGACGAAGCACTACTCCCGTCGTTCCCTACGAGCCACCCACCAACATCTTCACTTCGCCACGTGAGGTCGTCGTGTCCCCCGTTGTCCGTACGCCTAGGCGACGTACGAAGCTCACCGTCACCGTCAAGAAAGAGCCTCCGGCAATCGACCTTTCCGAACCCATGCCCCCGCCGAGTCCCACCGACGACCCTTTGTTACTCAGTGGCCCGCCAAAGGAATATCTGCCCAAGACATCACTAGCGAAACCGTGCTGGAGTCTTCCTCCGTTGTCACCACAGCAGTCTACCTCTAGTCCACCCAATGAAGATCCCACCTATTTCCAGTTCGAGTCACCCCCGGACACCTCCTTGGGCATGGACGTCGACGAGCCATTCAATAATATTCTTTTTGGAGACAATTTGAGTGGTGACGGGTGGAGTGACAGTGACGACGACGTCGAGATGCAAGGCCAGGGTGAATACACTGGCAAATGGAAAATGAAACTCGTCAAAATCAAGAATGATCCCCCCAGTAGTGCTACCCGAACCCGGATGGAGCACTGGGGACGTCCCATCAGCCCTTATCCCTGCGCGAAGCGGCGTGTCAGCGGCGTGGTTGAAGAAGACGATGATAGCGAGGCCGAAGAACCTGTCATCGCAGACAATGCTGTCCTGCAGCAACGCCATCATGGCGATGCTTCCGGTAATTCGCCGCCCTCTATTGACAACGAAGCGATCGAAGAGAACCAAGTCGGACCAATCTCCGTCGGAGTCGAGGAAGCAGACCCGGACTCAGACGACAGGCAGGAAAACGCGTCGCAGGCGACGCAGATTAACCATGAGGATCTGGATGAGCAGGAAGAGCGCGAAGTTAGGGAGATGTCAATTGGACCAGACCAAGAAGAGCCTTCAGTCCAACCAGTCATGTTTGAACTACTCGATAACGATGCAGAAGAAGAGGAGAGGCAGGTTAGGGATATATCGATTGAACAAGACGTTCCTGTTCATCCAGAACCCATTCTCCCTGAACCTATTGTTGACTCTGTTCCCGCCACGGTCAACGTCTTCACAGAGCAGCATGTTGAACTTGATACTCCGATGGCGGAAATAGAGTCTCATTCAATACCGCTAAATGAGGTTCCCGATGCTGAGGTCCAAATTGCGGAGGCTGTGGATGACTCTGATAGTAGCGACGAGGAGATTGATATGGGTGTCGTCAAGGTCACGAGCAGCGACCCTCGTGCTGCTGCGCGGGCAGCCGCCATTCTCAAACAGGTAGGTCAAGTTATGGGCTGATGTTTCGTCTGCTGACAGGAATTATTAGCACGATTATGAATGCTATACCAAGACCAAGTTATTCTTGAAGGGACGCGAAAGAAAGAGACGGCGTAGGACCATTGACGGAGGCATTGCAAAGAGTTCGCCCATATGTCTGGGAGGTGCATTTGTTACTCCAGTAAAGGGGCGCAGGAGAGAAACGTTGGGTGGAGTTATTGGAGATAGGGTTTACCTTCCTGGCAGTCCCGTCATGACTCTGGAAGGGCTGTTACGAGACGCAGAAATTCAGGTCGCGAGCGCAAAGAAGCCTTCCTCCAGCAAAGATCCAATTGAAAAACCATATGCTACTGTGAAGCGACCGAATGTCTGGACCAAAGACAATTGGAGGCTGCTCGACATGTGCTTCACGGAGGAAAGATACGAGACCGGGGATGGGAATATCATGGCTGACGTTGATGATGTGGACATTGATACTGTCGTATGGCGATTTGTGGAATTGATGCCTGATGGCCGGTGGGCTAAGTCCGTGTTTTCTCACCTTGCTTGTTTTCCTGCATGTTTACTTATAATATCATTCACAGGGAGGATCTAGAGCGCAGGTCACGAGCTATAGCGAAGAAACAACGCTCTGGAAATGCTGCCCCACCTCTCACTCCTCGGGCAAGTCCAGTACGGTGGGAGTCTCCTGCCACTGCGAGTCCGCTAGACAAATGGGGTCGTCACGCAAGCATGAATGTTCCGAACTTTACACCGTTGGGGAGGAGAGCCATGCCTCCTGCGCGAGTTAAGAAATCTCAGGCTGCGGTTAGGACGTCGACTCCATCCTTCAGGTTACCGGAACCTATCTCGACCGGAGCGCCATTTGAGACTTTGGATCGTCGAGCGGCGCAGAAGCCACCAAAGAAGGTACCACCGTTGTTCTTTGCCCCAAGATATTCGCATTTGCTAGAGGAGGCGCAGGCAGTCAGTCGCGGTGTACCGCCTAAGCCTGAGGTTGTGGCAGAACAGGAACAGGAACAGAAACAAGAGAAACTGATTGAAGAAGTCTTGGACACCAGTACCGACGAATCGGTCGATGCAAGCGTGGATCAATCGGTGAACGACGCTAGTATCGCCTCAAGCGTAGACGATAGCAGAGAGGAAGCGTTTCCCCAAACTCCGGCATACAAGCAACATGATGCTCCTGCACCACGTACAACCATGGGCGGCCGGGTAAAGGGGTTTCTATTTTCCTACCTCCCGATGATGAGCAAGACAGCGCCTGTTGCCAAACGTTCCTTTCCTTTCCAAGCCAAGAACCAGCTCCCACTTCCCCCCCTTGAACTGCTTGAGAAGCCTCGTGGACCCATTTCGACACCGGTTCGTGAGCCTGCGCCCAAGCAGAAGCATCCCAAAGAGCTGGTCGACTTGCAGCATATTCAGGTCAAACCAAAGTCGATGATACCGAAAAGGATACCGCCCAAGAGACTTGTGGAATTGACTCATGTCAGCCCAGTGAAGTCGGTCGAGCCTGTCCGTAGGCAAAGAACGAGTAGTGGAGGGAGCGTTAAGGATCTTGTAAAGGGCTTCGAGGCAATGGAGAAGGAGAAGAAGATGCCTGGCGCGGGTGAACTAAGAAGGGTGAAGAGTTTTAACGTCACCAGATCTAAGGTTCAAATGGAAGTCCGACCCAAATGGAGGCCTTGAAGGTCAAGTTTGCGCACTCTGTACGACTTATAGTTGTTATGATAGATGGTTCAGTAGAGCTTTATGGTATGTCCAAGCTTTCTTGTGTTTATTATATTGTATACGCTGTGTTAACAGTTGATTATTCTTAATGCCTATGGTTCCATGAAAATCTAATGTATTGAGATGGGTGTGAATGCAATCAACGTTCTTCACTTCGCAGAAGGCGCAGGAGATTGGGCTTCCTTGCCCTTCTCTTCTTTACCCACCTCTACACTGGACTTGGGAGGCCCACCCTTCATTTGGTCGATAGCGTCCCACAGATTGCCGGGCACTTGGGCCGCCATCATCTGCCGGTCCTGCTCCAGCAACTTGTCCAGCTGTTCCCGATTTTTCTCAATGTATGCCTGCTCCTCCAGGTAGTTGCGCTGGGCCTCCTTCCGCTTCTGCTCGAGATAGGTCAGTGGTACTGGCTCAGTGTGGCTGCCCAGGCCAAACATGGCGGCAAAAGGATTCGGTGAGCCCTTCTTCTTCTTCCATTCATCGACATGCCTCTGTTTTCCCTCTGCCTCCTTCTTGGCGTATTCCAGGGGGATATCCTTCCCTTGATACGCCGATATGATAGGACGGACGTCGGCGGGTTTGTAGATGGCTAATGATTCTAAGAAGGGGATCATAGCTACCAGTCCGCGATCGTTTTCGTTCCCATGCCATTTGGGGAGTATTATCGCGTTCTCTGGATGGGTGGAAACGTGCTCTGCGTTCGTGTCGAGGACGACAACTTTTGACAAATCGCGATTAAGATATGATAAGTCCTAGGAACAGGTTATTTACGATGGTCTCGTCATTATATCCATTCACACCTTTACAACATGTCCGTTCAGCGACCTGGTGGCTTCTCGATGGAGACGGTGGGATATGAAAAATCCGTATTTGTCCAGTTTATCGAGTATAGGTGCGGCAGTCTGCGTATGGTTGGAAAGGGTAGCGTAGAGGAGTAACCAAACGCACATAAAGATGTTGAGTAGTAAATATTACCACTTCATAGAATTGAGAGATATAAGCAAGGAAATAGTCTACGCCAGGTCGTTTTGCCGTTCGCCATCCATGTTGACGCTAGAATTGGATTTTAGACGATGATGATAAGGGCATCAAATGTGGCAGACGTACATCCCATATCGAAGTAACTAGTAGGTCGTCGATAGATACAATTAATGTATATGGTTTTTGGTGCGGAGCTGGATATGGGGGAGGCAGAAGTTCTGGCCATGCAGGTTCACTGAAGAACTAGTACAGTGAGGAGGGTTGTTAGACTTGAATCGACACCAGCCAGCAGCAGCATACCCCCAGCATATACTTGAACCGCGCCTTCGTTCTTCCCCATCGTGTTGAAGGAGCATTTTCGGAAGTCTAGGAAAATTTTATTGAGAGCAGGGGACAAAAATTCCAGCAACGTACCAATCTTTTGTCCTTCAATTCATCTTCACTCCAGTCTCTCGACATGTACGCGACATTGAATCCAAACAGCACCGCTAATAGAACAGCCGAGATCCTTCCTACCTGCTTCCGCTGAGCCTCTGCAGATGTTACCGAGTCCCGCGACCGTGCACCCGTCCGCCGAGGTTCTTCCTGTTCTTCTGTTGGCATGATATCAAGGCTGGGGAATGAGCTGGGCGGAGGGTGGTCCTGTGCGTCTTTCTGTGGAGGCTTTGGAGGCCCTGGCGGTATCTGTGACATACGTCGTGCAGCATATCCGATGGAGCGTCGTGCAATAGGCCGCGAAAGAAGAGCGAACATGAAGATGAATAAGTGAAGTACAAGGAAAATATTCCAGGTTTGTGTATGACCATATTTGTCTCAGAAGCCCTCGGCACACGGCATAACACGCCACTGTTATGCGTGACGTGACGCCCCGTGAGGTCCCTGCGAAAAATCGACGCGTCTCTTTCTTACCACCACCATCCACCCCTCAAACGCGTCTTTTTCCTTCTCGCCCACCATGCTCGAGGCCAAGCTCCAGGAAGCCAGTGTTCTCAAGAAACTACTAGACGGTGGGCTTTCCACTATATTGCTGTTTGACGCGACTGCTGACCCTTCCTGCAGCCATCAAAGAGCTCGTCACTGACGCTAACTTTGAGTGCAATGAGGAGGGCATCAACCTCCAGGCGATGGACAATTCTCATGTCGCATTGGTTGCTGTGTTACTAGAAGCGCCCGGCTTCAAGCGGTATAGATGCGACCGACCAATGCCCCTGGGCGTGAACCTCGCCAGCCTCACCAAGGTCCTCAAATGCGCAAAGGACGATGATGAATGTACAATCAAGGCCGCTGATGAAGCTGATGTGCTGAATTTGGTATATGAAGCCAAACGTAAGTAGCTGAGGGGACGTTCTATATCCCTTTGTACTGCATGCTGATAGCGACTGGCAGACACCGACCGCATAGCGGAGTATGACATGAAACTGATGGACATCGACTCTGACACACTTGGGATACCAGAAACTGACTACGATGCACGTGTAACAATGGCGTCCGTTGAGTTCGGCAGGATCGTGAGAGACCTGTCTTTGCTCGGCGAAAGTGTGCGGATCGAAGTTAGCAAGGAAGGCGTGAGGTTTGCTAGTGACGGAGAGGCTGCCAATGGAAGCGTGCTTTTGAAGCCTACGGAGGGCGTTGGCAAAGTGCCTAAGAAGGACGAAGACTCCGAAGAGGAGCAGGGTGAGGAAGCAAACGGCGACGACGAAGACGAGGAGCAGGCCGAAGATGGAAAGAAGACCAAGAAAGAGAAGACCAAGGTTAAGAAGGAGAAAGACACTGAAGACGTTGAGATGGAGGATGAAGAGGAAAACGGCAATGAGGACTTTAAACCCGAGGGTGACGACGATGAAGAGAAGAACTCTGATGACGAGGAGAGCGGAAAGAAGAGAAAGAAGAAGGTTTGTCAAGTCGCGTTCATATGTGTTACATTTAACTGACGCGCAATGGCCATCAGCAAGCGAACGGGACGAGCAGCAAGAAGGCCAAGACCGCATCGTCATCCTCGAAAGGTAAAGGAAAGAAGAAGGAGAAGGACGACGATAAAGACTTTGAGGGCGTCATCATCGAGTTGAACCAGCATGTCTCATTGACGTTCTCGCTGAAGTACTTGGTCAACTTTTCCAAGAGCCAGAGCTTGTGTGGAAAGGTCCAGCTGATGATGAGCAACGATGTGCCGTTGCTGGTGAGCTACCTCAACTCTCCTTTGTTTTGGATCGAGCTAAGTGTCGCGAATTGCAGGTGTCGTACGAGTTCGGCCAAGGACACATCCGGTACTACCTCGCGCCAAAGATCGGAGATGACTGATCATGGGCATTTACAAAAATTTCGACCTATCTATCTATCCTAGTGTTCTCTCGTTTCTTCTTTTTTCTCTTCTATGTTGTGTTATACTGGATACTTGGTTGCCCGCCACAATAAAACATCTGTTTGTCTCGTCCAACTGTTTCTTTGATCGCTATAAGATTATCAGTGCGAGAGGGTAGTAGATTCTGTATCGTAACTATACTATACCAGAGTTGTTCTAATGCTGCGCATGCCCATCTTCAGGTTCTCCCATTCTAATGCCCTTCGCGTGGGGAACTTCAGTCCCTTCACATTCGAGATGTATGGTTTCGGTTTCCGGGATTGGACTAGCTGAGTAAGATGTGAGAGGCTCCTCTGGGCTCGAGGATCGACGGCACTTGCCGCTGGAAGGTGTTGTCTGAGTAGATGAGCTTTGGCAAGTGGGGGTGGCCTCTCTCTCCCTGCTTGAGGCAGCAGGTAAGCTTTCAAGGTCCAGGGAGATGACTTGGCAAAGAAGGTTTTCACGTCCGTCTGAAACGTTAATATCTGGAGAGGCTTCTTGATCTGAATACCCATCTCTTTGTACTGCTCTTGGTGCTATAACGGTATCGTACCAAGTCCTGTCAGGGTACAAAGAGGGCGTCATTGATGCTGTCCATAGATGAGAAGGGAATTTGAGGAGGCACAAGAGGCTCATAATTCCCTTCCTTTGGATATGTCATCCTTCGAGTCCGAGGATTGACACTCCCAGGATGGCATGTCGAGGACAAAGAGATCATCGTCCGGGAAGCCTGCTTTGTCCTCCAAGACAGAACGTGCGCCAAGTAAATCTTCACAGGCCTGAGGGTTGCTTGTGCTAAGATTACTGAAATCTGTTTCGCGTCTGGCCGCTGACTCGACAAAGTTGTGAGCCGTTACGAGTGACCAGTCCATCGTCCGGGAAAACGTTTAACGGTGGTCTCGGTGGAGACTTCCATTTGTTAGGGTCTCGTGTATAACACGAGCTTCTTTCTTGATATCACTTAAAGGTGGCTTGCCAGTAAAGATTTGGGAAAATGCCATAAGAGCGTGGTGACGGTGCACTGTTGGTCCTACCTCGACAAGAATGCATCCATAGGCATAGACATCCCTAGCTGTGATGTATGATTGATCAAATAGTGTAGAATTCATGTACTCGGGGGGGGGGGCTTCCTTTGCACATCCTAGAAGAGCTGTCGGGAGCCTGTGATTCCCGAACAAGGAAAAGCCAAAATCTGCAGAACAGGAGCACAAATCATCCATGACAAGAATATTTGCCTAAGGCTAGTGTCGTTTCAAAGGTGGCACAAGGAAGATGAACGAAGTTAACGCACGGCGATATCAACTCCACAGTCCTGAGTCTCCAGGTACAAGCAACATTGCGAATCAGACTCTGAATCTGAGATGGCACATCGGGTTCGTCGTCGTCAACTTTGATTTGAATCCAGCTATGCAGACGCGGACGCAACGGTTCCGTCGGGAGAGTGGTGCCTTGGCTGATTGTAGAGGTTTTGGTGTAAGGTATCGGCATGGTTGTATGTACAAGGTGAGGCACAGGCGCTTATCAGGTAATGCTGCACTCTTCCGACGGAGCGTTCCTCTGTGTTCGGTGCAAATGGAGATCAACGAGGAACAGCTATACAAGTGGACGAGGCCACGAGCTAGTCCGGATGGCAAAGTTTCAATATGTCGAAGTAATCGAGGACGCGTCTCCTGGGCCTTCGTTAAAATGGAGAAGACAACAAGATTTCCGGCACAGGATTAGCGGGGAAGAAGTCGATAGGCTCACCGACAATGTCGTCAGAGTCGTATAGTATCTGCGTTAGTATATCAACTTTCAAGATTGAAATGAAGAAAAGCATACAAGAACAATATCGTCCTCCACCTGATCTGCGATAGAGAGGAAGCTCAAATATTACTCACATAACGACGGAAAAAGCGTCGCCTTGTTTCGATGTACCGAATACGCCGGAGCGAGGTAAGCCACACGAACTTGTTGTCGTCCGCGAAATATCGAGTCTGCTGCGCGCGCATTCAAATTCAAACGTCCATCAACGTATCATCTCTCATATTCTTATGCAATGCGTGCACAACACAGGTCCATGACATTGCGACGTCCATTGTTACAGCCAGGCAAGAATGTTTCAGGGCATGAATACAACATGAATACCGTATGATAGCCTTGGCGGTGAATATCCTCTACTGAGTAAAGTACAGGCATAGAAACGCAGATTACACTGAGCCTAGAGTCAGCTACGAAAAAAAGGCCCAGAGGAAAGCACGTACATCATGAATGCAACGCTTAGATATCGTCAATGTCGACCTCGCCCTCATCTCCAAACTCAAATGTACATTCGCCATCTTCCTCACCAAACGTATCCGTTTCGTTGATTTTTGCGTTCTCCGGCAACTCACCGTACGCTTTGACTGCAGCCAAAACATATCGACGACGAGCGCGCTAAAAAAGGGAGGAAAAAGACGCACGATTTCTTGCCTCGTCAGCGGTATACTTGACAATCACATCGGCTTTGTCATCTTGGAAGTCCCGGAGCGAAAGGAGGACAATATCTCCTTGGTTAATCCATACCTGCACGCTGTCAACAAACTGCCCTGGACACTGTCGAATGAAGAGACGTACCTTTTTCCTCATCTTTCCTCGGATATGTGCTAGCCGCTTCTCGCCATCAAAGCACTGGGCTTCCAGCCGTCCATTCCCCAGCATCTTTGTCACTTGGGCGTATTCCTGCCCATCCTCTCGGAATACAAGTTCACGCTTGTCATCGTCATTTTCATTCTTTCCTCGGCGACGATTTTTGCCTCCCTGGATAGTATCGATGTAAAATTCCAATGCCGAAAGAAATGTGTTATGCGCACCTTTCCTTTATTCTGAACCCCCAATGTTGAGTCAACTGAAAACCGATGCAAAGATGAAGCAACGTACCTTGGGCATATTGCGGTCGTTGGTGTTTTGATCTGGCTGATGCGCTAGTGGTGAAGCGACAGCACACGCAGAATAGTGGTGATGGTGGTGGTTACCTGCAAGGCCGTTATGCATTACCTAAGCCATGACTCGATTTGGTTGGAGTCACGGAAACGTACGGTGCCGCTCTAAAATGTATTAAAAGCGTGTATGATATTTCTAGTGACTAGCTGACATGACGAGTATGCTACACAGTGTGTGATTGATATGAGAGCGCAAGATATAAATCTAAAAAGCAGACCTAGGAAAGGATGAGTGAGCAATCACACCATATTCTGCTGACCACCGAATTTCTTGTACACGGGATCGTTCCTCGGGGTATCTGGATGTAATTGGAGTTTACCCTCCCATAGTGCGGCAGATGACACAGATGGGTCATTGTGCGCAGGATCCGACAGATTACCGGACTTGATGTAGCTGTGACCAGCAGCTACAGCGCCCGCCATCATTGTTGGTGCCATTGTAAGGAGTGACGATCTGGAAACCCAAACGCAGTCTGTGAGATGTCCTTCAAAACAAAAAGAATAATACTAACAATCTCATGGGCCCTTGGTCATCAGACAAGGTTGCCCGGCGGCTCTTGACCACAAACGACGACGAACGAACTCGACCACCTCTCAGATTCGCAAACGTCCCGAGGTTGTCTCTAACGACAGTGATCGCACCAGTCCATCCTTCAGTGTCAGCATTCTTAGTCGGGAGAATTTCGCTTCCTCCAAGGAGTCCCAGCTTCTTGAAGACCTTCTCAAATGGTTTCGTAGGCATCAGCCGAACAGCTACACCCAGTGGTATCGAAACAACGCCCAAAGCTAGAGAAATACCCCATTCCCGACCGCCAACACGGGTGACCTCAAATGCAGCACCTCCGACAAAGACGATAAGTATTTGCACAGCAATTTCTATTCAAAAAGACGTTAGCATGACCCCAAAAAACAATACCAACTTACCGATAAGTGTGATACCAATGAAGTAGTAGTTTTTCGTAATCCCCTCAAATACGTTAAGCTTTCTGTCTAATCGTCGGCAATTGACCGAGTTGAAGATTTGCGCGAAAACAAAGGCGTTGAATACCAAAGTCTGCACAACGGTATCGTTGTGATCACTCCCATCGAGTCCAAGAATTTGAAGGCCAAGGAAGTGGAAGACCAGCGAGATGGTGATCTGATAGATCGATTGGAACAAAATCATTTTATACATGTCCGCAGAAAATAGCGGCGCAGTCTTTTTATCTGGCTTACGATCAAGCAGCTTTTCTGTTGCGGGATCCGTAGCAAGAGCTAGTGCAGCGAAAGTGTCCATGATGATATTGATCCACAGCAGCTGAACTGCCGTAAGGACAGGCTCCTCGTCAGTAGATGCAACTGCCGTCACAAAAGTGATAATAACGGCCGTAATGTTGGTAGATATCTGGAACTGCAAGAATTTCCGGACCGCGTCGTTGACACAGCGTCCCCAAATGATAGCCTTCACGATCGATGAAAAGTTGTCATCCATTAGAATGATATCCGATGCCTCTTTCGCAACTTCCGTCCCTGCAATACCCATCGAGAATCCGACATTTGCAGTCTTTAGTGCAGGACCATCGTTGGTGCCATCACCGGTGACACCGACAATTTCACCGAGCGACTTGAGAGTCTCAACAAGGAGCTTCTTGTCCTCCGGAGAAGAACGCGCCAATACTTGGAGTCGAGGAACGATCTCAAGCATGTCATTGCGGTCAAGTTTCCGAAAAATGGGTCCTTCCATGATGATACCGCCACTAGTATATATTCCGCACTGTGATGCAATTGAGCGTGCAGTAAGGACGTTGTCACCCGTGCACATCTTTACAGTAACGCCAGCCTTGTGACACTTAGCGACGGCGTCGCGGACACCGTCACGAAGCGGATCTTCAATGCCTGTGATACCGATGAGGGTTAGATCATGCGCGAGGGAGGCGTATTCAACCTATGAATTACGATATTAGCCACACAAAAATTCATTGTGTACAACAAAGCTAGCATACTTCATTTTGCTCATCGTGGACAGAATTGGGAGGCGGCCAAGCGTCAAAATCCCTATAGCACAAGGCGATCGTTCGCAAAGTCTGGTTCGCATAGAAAATGATGGTGCGAGCAATGTTATCGGCTGAGTGGTCGTCAATTGGTGTTACTTCAACGTCGTCCTGCACGGGGCTGGGGTTCCCAGGCTTCTGTACGACGACATAGTGGGTACACTTCCTCGACAAAATCTCACTCGCGCCTTTAACATAGAAGCGCCACTTCTTCTCTCCCAGTTTGACAACGACTCCCATCGCCTTGCGCTCGCTAGAAAAGGGAATCATTTGGATGATGTTCGAGCCGTCTCGAGTCTTCTTGAAATCTGCCCATCCCAACTCTCGTGCAAACTTGAGGAGGGCTGTCTCCGTCTTGCTACCAACGAAAATGATCGCTCCAGATTCTGGATCGATGTCCTGAAACGCAGTCGAGTTCACCGCGATAGCCTCGTTAAAAAGGGATCGTAATGCAGGAGTCATAGTATCATTGAGCTGCGATTGATCAATGGAAAAATCGTGAGGATGCTTGCGGTGACCGGGCTCTTCCTCGCCGACGTTCGTGCGTGTTTGATTCTCCTCTAGCTGGCGTACAAACTTGGCATGGACGCCGACAGACCCAGCAACAACAGTCATTACGTTTTGTGTAAGGGTACCGGTCTTGTCTGTACAAACGACTGATGCGTTCGCCATAGTTTCGCAAGATCCCAGGACCCGTACCAATAAGTTTTCGTAAGTCATTCGTTTCGTCGCAAAAGCCAGTGCGAGAGTAACCGCTAGCGGTAGACCTGCAGCAGAAGCGGAATCATTATCGATAAATATCACCGTAATCATATCAAAACAAACCTTCTGGAACAGCAACAACAATCAGTGTTACTGAGATGATCAGGATATTCACAAAAGCAATCCCCTTTTCGTTCGCCGAACTGTCCGAGGCATCAGTCAGAGTATCATATAAACATTTTTTTAAAAAAATGAATTGAACAAACCGGACAGGTTCGCCAGCACCCAACTGCACGAAAAACCGAATCATTAAAGCGGAAAATAATATCAGCCCTGCCAAACTGCCAAGTTTGGCAATCAGTTCGGCTAGAAAATTCAGCTTGAGCTGAAGAGGCGTATTTTCCCCACCGCCTCGCAATGCTAATGAAACCGGAAATGAGATTAGTGTTCCAAAACTGACATGATGAACGTACGTACCCATCATAATTCTGCCATTAAAACTTTTAGTTCCAACAGCAACAACGACATACTTGCCAACACCTTCCAATATCTTCGAACCGCTAACGATGAAACAGTCTGTATGTGCCAGGTCGGCTGCGTGACCCGCCGCCTCTTCTCGTTTGTGGAGCATAGACTTGCATTCTTCGAAGGTGACCTTCTTGATCGCGTCTGATTCGCCCGTGGCACCAGACTCGTCGCATCTGACGTTATGTCCTCCTAAGAACACACCATCGCAGGGAACAATCTCGCCCGGCTCCAGTAATGCGATATCACCGACTACAACTTGCTGAGAGTAAGGTGAGTCGAAAGAGCAAGTCGGACCAGTGATTACATACTTTGATATCAATAACTTTCTCAACACCGTCACGAATGACCTTAACGCCACGTTCCTCCTTTCGTTCATTCAAAGATTTGAATTGGCGCTCCTTCTGCCAGTCGTTCAAAGAACCGACGACCACCTTTTATCCCACGATGTCAGAAAAGGCTGTGCGAGAACGATGAGGTGACATGCTTACGACAATGATGATAGCAACCATAATGGCAACACCTTCCACCCAATCGACCGGAGGACCGTCGCTTGCATCTCGAGTGACACCGAAATCTTGAAAGAACCCGAGAGCAAGAGAGACAACAGCAGCAATAGATAGTAAAATCTTGATTGGAAAAGATAAGACGATATGATATGTGTTACACGAGAGAGGAATATACCAAAACTTTGTCCTTGAGGGCTGTCCACATAAGCTGCAACAAGGATTTGCTACGACGCTCGGGCAATACATTGGGCCCGTAAACGCGCCGACGGTCATCGAACGAAGCCGCGAATGCAGCTTCGTCGTCAATATCAGAGGCATGGGTGGAATGAACATCCCCGCCAGGCTCGGTGAGAGTGATGGCAGGCACCTCCCTCTCAGGATCATGTCGGTCGGAAGCACCATCCCCAGCGCCTGGCCGACCATCAGCACGCCCTGGACCTGAGCCGAGCCCATGGATGCTATCGGAGCCCAGACCGCGCAGTAGACCAGAGGTTCCACCTATGTCCTGTAGGGTATCCAAGTTCTTGGGGTCAAGCATGTGAGCCAGCTGGTAAGGCTTGAAACGGAAAGGTGTGGGGTCAAAATTGGCATCTTGCTTTAGTTCTGCTCGATGACCGGCTGGATCTTCCTCCTCCTCATCGTCTTTTTTCATTTTCGTTTTCTTCTTCCCTTTCTCCATTGACTGATCTTTCTCCTCTTTCTGCACCTCAGGCCTCCTCTCAGGCGACGCGCTCTGTGTCCTTTCACGGGAGGGCGAACGCGACGCGTCGTACTGCGTGTAACTGTGTGTATCAGAACCAGAAGCAGACTTTTCACTGCGATGCTCTTCCACAACTGTTCCTTCATTCGAGCTTGTGAGAGTTCCCACACTAGCCTTACGGTTGTGTATGGGCGAGTCAGGTGAAAGAAGGCTTGAATTGAAACGAAGTTCAGGCTGGTTTTCCCGTAAAGCGAGCGTTGTTGGGTAAGGACCGGAAGAGCTGGAAAGAGTGGGTGATGGCGGGACAGACGATGTGTCGGACATATCTGAAGGTGTCCCTGGCGAGTGAACCTCGACGGAATTACGCGTCTGCCTAGGGATATGCAGCGGCGACAACAAACCTCGATTGCTGCCATCGTTTGGTGTAAGAGGTGTGGAAATGACGGCCTCGTTGCCGCTGGATCTCTCGCCTGTTGAAGTAGCATCCTCGATGATGATTGCAGGGCTCGTCGAGTGATCATGGGACTCCATTGTGTGTTGTTCGACTGTAAGAGGAGCTAATGAGAGTCCTCATGCGTTGTGGGAGAGGCGAAGGGACGGGAAGGAAGTCGTGGTTGTGCTGTGGAGGTCGTCATTGTGGAAAAGAGATATTCTGGAAGGCTTGGCGCACTGCCTCCGGCACATCTCCTCCTTTTGGAAATTCATTTTAAAACTCATCGTATGCTAAGCGCCCCAACGGTTGCATGGCGTCTATCACAATTCGCGCCATGTACCACTGATGGAGTATCTGGCCGGGTACTGTACTGAGTTATTATCTAAAAGCTCGAATTTCTACATTTTTTGTCTTCGGCAGCCAAGCCCATGCGGAGCGGCCTCCGGATCATCAGACATTTTTCCAGTGATCACTGCGGGGGTTTTTTTTTTTCGGCTTGGAAGTATTCTGCATTTGGAGACAACCCTTCTCCATGGACTGCTGTACTGGCGCTGCCTTTGCCAGTCACGGCGACGCTATGCTCATTGTTGGGGCTAGTACGTCAGTTCACTGCCTCGTTACCAATGGAAAAATTTCAAGAAATCTTAGCACCCCCACGGCTTTAGGAGTCTTTGTAGAGCGACTTGTGCTACACGCGTCGGGCCTTTTAAGGCTCAGAAGGACCCCCAGGACTTGCACTGCCTCTCGGAACACAATGTATTGGCTACTGTACTGCTAACTGCTTCTGAATTCATTCTACGCCATAAGGAGACATCTTGTCACATTTTTCTCACTTGCAACCGATATAGCGCCAAATTTTGCGCATAGCATCTTTACTATCCAGGTCAATTAGGTCCCCAGATCTCGCGAAGCGAATGTTTCAGTTCCGAATTTATTGGTCCACAAGCACGACAGTTCTCCTCGAATTTCCATCTTTCCAAGTTAGCGCATAGCCTCGCTCCCTCCGCGACTCGTCCCACTTTTTGGTATCCATACAAAGTCGCACGGTTGTATCTGTTTTGGTTTAGCCTTCTATATGCATGTGCATATTATACGTGAATGACCTCATAATGTAACGTAGCGACTCAAAAGCTTCAAGGCTCGTAACTCAAGACTTCAGCCGAGCTGGTCTGGTTCTATTTAGCAGGGTTCTGGCCAGCCCCCGCTGCCCGCCACAATGACAGGCACACCAGATATATAGAGGAATATCGTCAGCAATAAGCAAATCGAGATATATCACTTTTGAACTACATCAGAGGTCTCACTAGGGTCAGCTATGGTTGGGAAGACCGAGGACAGTCACTACAGCGCTATCGGACATTAAATTCGCCAACATCACCTTTCCGTGATTGTGATCAAACTGCGCTCGCGAAAAAAAAAAAAAAAACCAAACTGCAGCGTTTTCCGACGAGGCCGAAGCTCGCTGCGTCCGGCCTGACAAACCGTACAAAGACCTTCACTGGTACGGCGTTAATAATTATATCGCAGCAATTTTTCATTTGGCTACACCGCACCCAAAGTTCTACCTTTATAAAGCATCAGTTGGGTTTAAAGGCCTTACCGCAGCGTCTAACTTACATAGTTTTCTTTCACGCCGAACAAGCTCGTTGTACACACGTTTATGGCCAGGCCAGTAAACGTTGAAGGAGGAACCGGACTCTAAGGACAATAATAACACCCGCTTTTCCGAGCCTGTTCCACGTGTTCTACTCTATATCAAAATAGTTGTGGAAATCACCGTTGAAGAGCTCTAAGGAAGAGAAAGGGAGAAAACCACTTTGACCCGAATCCTAGTCGACGACTGACACTTTCTGGCACTGTATTTTTCACTTTTGAAACGGCCCGTAATCTGCGAAGACTGGTATGACTCATATTTTATGACGTCATCGTCACTGATCAATGATCGGCGGCCATAACCAAATCAGTATAATTGCTCCGTCCCAGAACTAGAGCCCTCGAGCACTCTCAGAGCGGAATCGTGTGAGTCTAGAACTGGTGAGATAGTGATGATAAAATCAGATTAAACACCTTGGGCTTGACTTTGAGGGCCGCGGTTCATCAAACTTCCTTAGTAAGGACTAAGTAGTATAGCTACCGAGATTCCACATTACTGAATCTCTCATGGCCTTTGACAATCTCTGCCGCAGCATTTATTATCGCATGTAAGACTCATTCCGGTATTCACGTCGTGTCACGCCCGGATGAAAGATCAGTTCCCCGTTCAGCCTTCTTGTTAACAGCACTTATAAATATCACTCAACAGCACTTTAAGTATGGTGTGTTTCTTCAATTTTTGGGATATACATCTACCGCTATTGGTCCAAGGAGAATGGCACCAACTTTCTCAGCCTCGCTGCCAGATTCCCAAATTCCAAAACCATTTGAGAAAGGAGTGAGTATAGTCTTCCCCATTGTTCATGCAGGGATTGTTCGCCCAGTTTGTCGTATTGAAAGACATAATATCATCAATTCAGAGAACACGGACCATGATACCATGAAACCTAGGATGTGATCTATCTGTTTCATATCCTAACCACCATCGCTTCATGCTCGGGTTGCCACTACAAGTACACGGTATATTCTACATCAGCGACAATCTCTGGTAGGTTTCAAGTATCTGTGATCATGGCTGGGACGCTCTTACGGGTACACGAATCCTGTCATTCTATACTCGTCTCTGCATGCAAATCAATTTCAGTAGAGAATACCATAATGACGTATTTGCATCTTGTATAAGAACTTTCTCTAGACACTCAGACTCGACGCTCAGTTGCCGTTCGGCGTAACCAGCCCATCCCTAATGATCCCATCCTCAATCTTCTGAACCGTCTCCGCATCATCCTCAAGCTTGATCTTGCTCATCTCCTTGATGAAGCTACTTCCCCAAAACGATGCACTATATTTGTTCACGTACTTGAACAGCTTGCGATGGTTTTCCGCTCGGACGCCCGCATCCATCGTAACAGCCTCATGGATCGCGTCAGCGACTTGTTGCGAGTCCCACGGGTTGATGACGATTGACCCGTTCAGACTCTGCGCAGCACCAGCAAACTCCGAAAGGATCATGACTCCTTGTCTTGCCTGCTGACAGGCAATGTATTCATATGACACCTGGAAATTGCTATGAAGAACTGTCTTGTAAAAAAGAAAACAGAGGGAAATACGGACCAGGTTCATCCCGTCCCTTGTACTTGACACTAGGCACACGTCACTGACCGCATACAGCGCACATAGCTCATCGAATGGCAAACTCTTGTGCATGAAATGAATCGGCATGAACTCGACGGTTCCAAAGCGGCCATTGATCCTACCAACGAGTTCGTTAACCGTCGACCGTAGATTCTGATATTCCTCCACATCCTGCCTGGACGGAACCGCTAGCTGCACGAGAACCACCTTGCCGATCCACTCTGGATGCTGTGCCAAAAACAACTCCAAGCCGTGCAATTTTTGCGGTACGCCCTTGATATAGTCAAGCCGATCGACGCCCACAATGACCTTGACACCGCCAAACCGTTGTTCCAGCTGACCAATTCGAGATTTGACGGATTCTTTTTTGAGATTCTGGAATAGTCGTTAGAGAGTCGGCTGTGCGTTGGAGTCGGTTACTCACATCAATGAACGACGCGGGCTCGATACCGATGGGAAATGTACCGACGTGGGCCAATCGGCCTTCGAACTCAACACCATTGGGCATGGTGGGAAGACCAAGGATACGTGTGCATGAAGAAAGAAAGTGTCGGGCGTAGTCGTAGGTATGGAAGCCGATGAGGTCGCAGTAAAGGATCCCAAGAAGGATTTCACGCCGGACTGGGAGAATTCTAAAAGGTATAAGCGCACGCAGCGAATGAGCGATTGAGGCTCACCTGTATATCTCACTGCTTGGGAACGGGGTATGTAGAAAGAAACCAATCTTGATTCCCGGAACAGCCTCTGACTTGGTAACCGTAACATCTTCGCCTTCAATGCCCTCTGCAATCTTGGACAGCTCTTTCTGGGTGTAATTGCTCCCCGTCGGTGCGCCGTCAATCAGACCGCGTAGGAGCATCGGCAGCAGCATGAGATGATAGTCTTGCACCCACACCATCGATCCTAGAGTGAGCTGCATCCTGACAGCCTCTGCAAACTGAAGATTCGCCTGACGATACGCTGACCAGTTTTCTTCTTCAAAGTTCATCTCGCCGGGGTGGTAATGGAACAAAGGCCATAGAATGGAGTTGGAAAAGCCATTGTAGTGACGATCCGCAACGTCATCGTCGAGATACACAGCCTGGCAGGAGTACTCTTCCATGAGGCGTTTGTCGACGTGGGGACGGTCGCGGATGGGAATGAAGAATCCTGGCCAGCCGATCCAGGTGAAGTTGAGCGACTTTTTGAAGCCAGAAAGGGCTGAAACGAGACCACCAGAGGACATTTTGAAGTGGTACTCGCCTGCAGCATCCTTGGTAATGGTGATAGGAAGACGGTTGGAAACGACGATGAGGTGGCCGCCCTCCATGGCTGGGTGGATGGGAGAGCTGGACATGGGTAGTGACAGGACAGTTATATGCTCTGGACGTACTCGGCTGGACACGCCTAAGATTCCCAGCAAAACGCCAGATCAGGAAATTATCGGATTTGGGTCCTGGTCGAAGAACGTGTTTCCGACGCCGGCTTCTGTACGAAATACTGGCGATACCGTATTATTCCGTTACTAGATTCTAGCGCGTATCAGGGAGAAATCAGGGGGACAGAAAGAAATTAGGCAACCTGGGCTGCGTATTATATACTGTAGAGAAAGATAGTAGTGGAAAGCAAACACGACCCGGTCGTCATCTATGACGACCCCATCGCGACTTCGGGAACTTCCGGTCCGCCAATGCCGATCATTTTCCAGACAGATTCAGGCAAACACAATATGGTTATTCGAGTAAAGACTACGATACATAATATATTTAATCGAACAGACCGAAGCCCTGCAACCAACGTGCATCAGATACAATCAACGCCGAAGAATAATTCTCACCATGTCCTCGTCAGATTCTTCCTCCTTCTCTGGCTCCTCCTCAACAGCAGCAGCGGCAGGAGCAGCCTCGACAGCAACTGGGGCAGCAGCAGCAGCAAATGCATCGGGGTTGGCAAGGTACTCTTTGACCTAGAACAAATAAGCACATGGAAAACATACAGATCCGACAACAGACCTTCTCGGATCCATCGAACGTGTACTCGGTAGCCAATGAAACGGCAAGGACGTTCTTGTAAGCATTCACGAGCGAGTGAGCAACCGATACGATGGTGGGGTAGTTGAGAGCAAGGGAAATAGCCGCGATGGTCTTGATACCACTCAAGAACCTGTCCACGAGCTCTTGCTCATCAACATCCAGAACCTCGGGCGAGAACGAGTTTCCAGAGTCGAAGATCTGGACAACCGTCATTCCGTAGGTGAAGGGGGAAATATTAAGCATGTTCAACAGAGTTGCCTCTGAAGTTCCTACACGAGTACCAGCTTGCACGACCTTGACGTCAGAAACGATTTCAATTGTACCACGGGCAATCTTGGTAGGGATACCGAGAGCCTGGAAGAAAGACGTCTTTCCGGGTTCCATACCGGTGTTTCCAGCAGGAACAGTGACGTCCTTGGGGGCAAACGCACCAGCACGAGCGGGAGCAGCGACCTTGTTGGCAACGATGAGGTCACGAACGTCCTTGAGATCTCCAGAGGTGAACACGAAACCGATGTTGCCCTTGACGTGGGGAAGAAGACGCTCGAACTGGGGGTACTCAGAGAGAATGGAACGGAGAGCACGTCGGACCATAGTGTTCTTGCCCATCAAAACAACACCCTTGCCTCGGAGAGAGACACGGATCTGATGCATCTGGTTGGATCCGACATTGTCGACGTTGACCAGGAAAATCGATGCTGCACGATTGTTAGCACGTTATGCAAATTGTTGTCTGTGGAGACGCACGGTACTTGGCTAAGAGTTCCTTGAGTTTTTGGAAGTATACTTCCTTGTCAGCGCGAGAAGCTCCCATTTTGTTGTTCTACAGACAGATGAGAGGTCGTCGCATTCGTATCAATTAGGACATACAATGTGTTGGAATTATAGAGATAGTGCCTCCCTATTGGTCTCTGCTCATCATCAGCAACGGTTCCAACAGACACATTTGACAATACTCACCACGGAGTGCCAATGGATTTTTCAAGACGACTAAGGTGAAGAAGACGAACGCAGCTGGGTTTTCTTTCTGTGTACGCATACCGTGGGAATTATGAATAAGGTTTGCGGAATCGCGGCATTTTCCGTTCCCCTACGACTCGACGACGACGAAGTCCTACTAGCCGTTGTCTGCCGCTGTGCTCGACGGCAAGGCCCTTCCAGTCGCAGGGACGATTTCGCTCGCTGACAATCGTTGTCGCAGCTATTGTATTCCGCGCCAACATCATCGTCTCACATGCAATGGAATGTTGAGATGGGTTCAGTCGACAGCCCGAAATTTGGACGGCTGCGGCATTCTTCGGTATACCTTACTTCCCTGCTGGATGCTACAGCCTTTTTGATAGTCTTTTAGTCGCTATTTTGTATGCAGAGCATGTCACGGTAATGTGACTATAGCCGGCTCGCGTCGCGCCCTTGCAGAGCGGAATTATTCTCTTTCGACTCCCAGCACGCATCTGTCGTCGGATGTTTCGTCGAGCTCTCTTGTGTCCAGCGGTACTCTGCTTACACTATATCGTGAAGTCAAGCAAGCGCATCAGGTTTCCTCTCTCAGTCACAGCCAGCTTAGCAAGCTCATACGTTTGTATGGAAAGCTCTCCACGGACTTGGATGCTTCAGAACAAGGAGCATCTTCAACCATACATAGGGAATTCGTGCGCGAGGTTGCATCGGACATGGAGACGCTGGGGTACGAACTTGGTGAAGAGGATCGGTGTTGGGTATTACGGGGATTGCTCGCGTCTTCCTCGACAGGTATCATCTTTCGTCATGTCCTTATTCTCTGACTGACCATCGACACGAAGATCCAACATCTCTTTGGCTTGCAAGACACCATTACGAGCATCTTCGAATGTCACCCATCGACGTTAACCTGCATCTCGCCTATTACAGAACTCTTATGTCCTCTGGAAATCCACAGTCTGTAACGGAAGTGCTTCACCATGTATCCATCATATTCGAAAGATTTCCCAATCCAGCGTCCGAGATCATAGAATTTATCTGGCCGATAATCCTGAACCAAGATATTCCTGACGTGGCCGGAGAGCATGTTCTTAGCATGGTTTGGACTCGATTGACCCAGTTCAAGGGAGCCAATTCACATTTGAAGCGTGCACCGACTTTGGGTACCACCCGTGTCCTGGATGCCCATTCCCAAAGTTATGGACCAGCAACAATCAGTATTGAGCACCTCGCCGTCGGGTTTGGGATGGCATTTCTCCCCCATTTCTACGTGTCACTTCCGCTTTCCGTTCAACAGTGGGTTAGAGTCCAGGCGCAGAATGTTTTTAACCCCCACAACGACACTTCATGGAGATGGAGGCAGTTGAAAATCTTTCTTGTTCACTCATCTAAATCAGCCAAGACTCTTGGCCAGCACTTGATTCCGTTGACGGATAAGCCCGACGATCCGGCACTAGGCTGGAGCACAGTGCTTGTGCTGGTTTCTCTAGAAACACTTGTGAAAGATGGGAAATGGCCGTCCTCACCAGTCATACAATCCACAGTGCGTAGGTTGTGGAGACTCTGGCAGTTGTCTGTGCAGGACAGCCCTCGGCCACAGTTCGTCGAACGGGCAGTCGTAGCCTCCTTCCTTCGACTGGGCGCTCACACAGCCGACCGAAGCCTCGTTGATATCTGTCGTCGCTATATCTTGTCTGAGGATCTATGGACGACACGGAAGGATCACACTAGAGCTGAAAAGATTCAGATCATCTCCCTCGCAGCGGACTTTGTGGTGTGCTACTTTCGGTCCATCAGCCCTAGCTGGGACGATGCACTGCGTGTCCTCAGTATGGCCTTTGACGGACCGAATGCGAGTGATGTATTAGAAGTGGTTTTTCGGATGATCATGACCTCAGATACCCTTAGCGCTTTTGCGTTGTATCTCCATTCTCAAGAAGCAGATATCACTTTGGCTCCCAGCATTGTATGTGCGCTCGGGTTCCTGATGGCTCCTATTCAGCCGGAACGTTCCATACTTTTTCTTTACGACACTAGACTTCTCCGTCAGCGGCGTACACAGCTGCTAGAAGCCATCAGTCGGTCCCTTTTTCGACATGGCGTGTGCCATTTATCTGAATCTTCCGCTGGTACCATAGGCGATCACCTTCTCCATCTGCCAGATTCGGAATATCCCTTTCTTCTTATCAGACGGAATCAAGGGCATATACAGCACACCCTTACTGTGATAGGTCAATCTGGATACAGCATGAAGGCCTTTGGCGCGGTTCAGCGCATTCACCGTTCAAATCCAGGGTTCTTCTCTATGACCTTCCTTGCGGGTTTTGCCCAACTGTTGGTTCGGCGAAGGCGGTTCAAACTCGCAGTAGATCTTTACATGACATTGCTTGGGACGGTCAGTGATGCTGCGCAGCTTGAAATACTTCGGCAGCGGCTGGTATACAACATCGCCCGGAATGGCGGGACCTTGGTTGCGAGGACCATCGCGAGATCGACATCGACCAATATTCGTGAACGAATGGCATCGCACTCTGGATTCAGATTAAGAGATCCCCCTCGTTCTACAGCAATGAACGTGTTTTCGACGCTACGCGAAACGCCCAGCGACGTTGCAAGCATCAAGTTGGCTATCTACATCCTCACAAAAGCCAAACGCCCCGTCGCTGCACGAAACTTGTACGCCCGATCACTTCAATACCTGGAGGTTCCGGCGCGAACTCATATGGGAAACATGATCTTGCACCGCACATTCCAGAGTTTTCGCGTGCGTAATGCGCAGCTCGTACGGAAGGTAATCGCCAACCGGGACTATTTCGTGAAGCGCTATGGCTTCGTAGAGGACCGGGTCACGCTCAACATCATCTTGAAAGCGGTTCTGCGTTGGACGACAGTCGTCGATGCTGCCGCGGTGAGGATGCTGTTTGATGAGGTGGTGAGGCTGGGGTACCCGGTCGACGCGCGCTGGCTCCCACGAGAGGGGGATGTACCATTTTCAACGCCATCCCAGTCGAGGATTAGGTTCACGATTCCGGATTTGGATGCAGAGATTTCATTCGAGAGGCATGTAAGACCGATGTATAGGATGTTCATTACGGCATTCTTTCAAAGAGACGATGCGGAGGCTGCTAGATTGGTGGTCGGAATTTTAAAGACGGAGGTGGAAAAGAGGCGTGCGCCTAAAGGACGTAACATTCGTACATAAGTATAAGAGTGAATATTTGTACACTGCTCTCAAACGATACTGCGACTGTTTGTCATGAAGCCTATGCTGGCTTTGAGGATATGCTCAATGATGGCTAGCTCTTCGTCGTTGCGAGGTCCGTAGATCATTAGATATTCCTTTGGCAAGGGAACGTACTTGTTGACTCCGCTCAATGGGTGACGCTCTCCCCAACCTTTCTCGATAACTGAAGAATATGGTCAAGCTAGGATCAAGAGAACACCGAGGCAGACGTACCAAGCTTGCAATCTTGGGGCGACAGAACAAAATGCATAGAATGGTCTGGTGGATGAATATGGCCGATCTCGAGCGAGGCCTGCTCGGCAGTTTCATGGGGAGCTGGGATGGAAGAACGGATGTGCATTCCTTGGACATGGCGCTCGTGCGGCGACGTCAGGAGCTCTACCAACGACGAATTGTCTTTACTGAGTTTGGCGAAGAGCTTGTCCAGTTTCTGCATGGGGTATCAGATTAAGCAGCATTGGGTAAAACAAAGACTTGCTTCTCTCATATCAGCGTCAGGCAACTGTACAAGCTGTCTGTGGGGAACGGAATGCCATCCAGTAGCCGGCCTCTCGCCCTGTCGCTGAGGAATATCAACAAGCCAAGCCTCTTTATTCGGGTCTTGCTGGTACTCTTTCGTCGACACGGTCTCGCGACCAAACGGCCAGATAGCGAGAGCCATGAGCCATCCGATAGGGTTGTACGGGAAACCGCCCTCTCCAAGGCTCATATACTTGGCGTAGTTGTCTATCATCCATGGGGTCGACAGTGCGACTGCGGTGGTGAAGGCAATGGCTCGAGGATACCGCTGCAGGATACCCTGGGCATTGAGGAGCACCGGACTGATATTTTGTGGGTTCAAGTACAGATTCATCATGGTGGGCGATAATCGATAATAATTCGTTCCAGAAAATCGTCTCAAGTCTGGAAGAGGTACGACTTTCGACCGGCGTACACGTGCCGTGCCACTCACCACCTTTACGTCAACACTTTTTTTTGTTTTCTTCTATGCCTCCATTTCCTGCGGGACCTCTCCCAAAACCTGCCCGTGATTCGTGAGTTTTTGTCACTTGTTCATCTCTTTTTTGCTCACAGCTTTCAGTCGAGTTCACGGGCACATCACGGGCGTACCAATTGGCTCGATATTCCCCGGTAGACTACAAGTTCGTGCAGCGGGATTACACAACCCTCCTCGCTCTGGCATCTTTGGCACTTCGAAGGAAGGCGGGGCGTACTCTATCGTTGTGTATGTTTTGAATTCTTCACCACAACTCGCGCTGATTATCGCAGGTCGGGTGGCTACGAGGACGATGAAGACCATGGAACATATTTGTGCGCTCTTCTTCCTTTTTACACACACAGCAAGCTCTCATCAACGACGCGTCTAGCACGTATACTGGTTCAGGTACTTGCTATCAGCCCTGACATCAAACAAGGCCCTGCTTATATTTGGACTAGGTGGAAGAACCCAGGGATACAATACAGTACAAGTCGCAGACCAAGAGTGGAACCTGGGAAACAAAACTCTAAAGGTGTGTTTGACTATTTTACCAAGAGACCCATTGCTGAAATATCCACAAAGGCGTCTCTGACAACGGGAAACCCCGTTAGGGTTATCCGAGGACAAAACAACTCTCGTTACGCACCAAGTGAAGGGTACCACCTCCGTTCTGATCCCACTTTTCGTGTCTTATTATTATATAGGTACCGTTATGATGGCCTGTACAAAGTCATCAAGGTCGGTGCCTTCATTTCTATTCCTTCCCATCTGATGCACATCTTAACCTATATAGGCTTGGAGGCAACGCGGTCGAACGGGTTTCAAAACATGTCGATTTCTATTCGTCGTTCGTACTCATTCCCCCCTTTTAATGGATACTGATCTCCCCCTAGTTACTTGAAGAGAATCCCCATCTCGGCAAACCGCCCGGCCCAGATGAACTCGGTCTGCTCCGCTTTGATGATGACACTGCCTCAGACTCTGGAAGCGAGAAATCTTCGATGCGTCGAAGCTCATCTGCTGTGACCACAGGCTCTTCGAAAGGCCGTCCCTGTGCCAAGCGTCGCCGATCATCTAGTACTCAGAAGCCTGTAGCCTCATCAAGCCATATCGCCCCTGCTCGCTCTGTCAATCCCCCAATCCATGCCAGATATGAAGGAACACTTCGTGGTCCTATCATGGTCAACCCCAAACCCACAAAATGTCTCAAAGTGGAACAACCCGACAAACATGTTCCGGCCAATTGTTCTCCTCAGATCAATGTCAACGTACCAGCCACCCCTGTAGAGGAGAGGATACATACAGAAAGAGAGCTATATGACAGGATCAAAGGCAAGCAGAGTTTTTTTGGAAGATACTGCATGGCAGATCTATCATCTTAAACTTTTTGTTTTGATTTTTGGTATAGCACTGTTCTTTTATATTGCAACTGTATTTATCTTGCATTTCTTCATCCATCCTGTATTCTGTAGTCCTTGTTTACTTGCTAGGCCAATTTTTGTGAAACAATGTATTGTCAAGAGGTTCAGTTGATATTAGTGGATTTTAAATTGCAGTTTGTGGTGGCTAATGCCTGCAGAACAATATGAGAAGTGGAGATGACTCAAGCAATGTGATCTCTCACCAATTGTTAGATCTAATGAGCATGTGATCTGAACACATGATAAACTAGTGCTGTATCACATTTGTATAATCATGCTAGAGTTTGCTGAATGTGTTCTGATAGATAAAGTGTCACAATTTTTGCCTCTAAATCATGGCCTGCTGATGCTTACCAATCCTGACCTCAGGCCAACCTTACAAAAGATGGTAAAGATATGATGACACTATGGCTACATCTTATTCATTGATGCACAATAAGATGACAAAAAACAATATAATAACCATCACTATCCTATATCTTGAACACAATAGAAACTGTGGCATATGGAAAACTCACTATAGTGATGGTATAGCAGAGCAACAATAACAAACAAAAGTAAGGGCACAGTTATTGTTATTCCAGACAATGAGTGGAGGACATAGAAAGCAGACAATAGTTGCCTGTAGGGCATAGAGTCCTTTAGACAGTATTTAAGGCAGTAGTACACACTAATGTACTCCAGTCTTGAGCTAAGATTTAATACACCTACTATACTCTCTGACTATCTGATGCAAATACTCTTATCACAACAGCAGATTATATCTATCAGCCACAATCCTTTATCCTCCTTTGTGAAATTCTTATTGCTTACCTTGTTATTCTCATTATACTTTTATACTGAAACCAGACTCAGACTCAGAACCTAGAATTAGACTTCAGCAGAAGCAGTGTGAGACATTTATGAGTGTTTAGTAGAGACCTAACATAAAGTGCTTCAAGGCCAGAGACAAGCTAGACTTGAAAAAAGATAGTGTGAAATAAACTTATAGCTCAAAGCTGGATTACTACAGTGAGAGCTATTCTACTTATATACTGTCTTGCTTGTAATAAATATAACTACTATCTATTATGCTATTCTATGCTATGATACTGATGCTGTCTGATTATTGGGAGTGAGACAATAGAGAATTGTCTGTGGGCAAGATGACCAAGTACAATGGTATCCCATCTATTATGATTATCTGATCTTTTCATGTCCTTTGAGAAAGTGCTCAAGATAAGATAGATGCTCTGATAAGATAAGAAAAAGAAAAGAATATGGAAAAAATTATAACATCACCCTCTCCTTTAAGACCATTATTCTAATTGTTAGACCCAAGCATCACATGAGTGAAACCACATGATAAACAGAAGCTACCTCACACTTTGGGTAGTCATCTGAGTTTACTGATGTGATTTACAGTCATTGTGTCACAAGGCCAAAGAGTTGGCTCAAGAGTAGAATAGTGTGAATAAACTTTAGCTTGAAGCTGGAGATTTACCAGCAAGAGTGAGCCTTTTTAAATACAGTACATAGTTTGCTATTAATACTTGTACTTATTGTGTGTTTTTCTGTCCTGGATGCTCTTTGTTCTTGAATATCATTACTGTACATAAAAGGCTGATTGTGCATTTATTGTTAGATGTCGATTGCATTGAAGAACCATGATGAAGTCAGCCTGTTGTAATGACTAAGTCTTCCCATAGTTCTAAGTGCTTGTTCTTGATGCCTTGACTAAGTATAAATAGGGGTTAAAAATAAGGAAAGAAGAGAAAATCATAACATTACCCCCTCCTTAAGACCATTATCCTGATGGCTTAATTTAGAGATAGTTCATAATCATAGATTGCTTTCTCAGCATTCATCAGTTTCTTATTTACCCACTGATTTGATTCAAGGCTATAACCCTTTCAGCTGATAAGATAATCCACTGTTGTTATTGTTCCACCACTCCTTGCCTTGATTTTGTGTAATTTATGATTCAGGACTTGGTCAATTTCATAGTGTTCTTCATCATCGATCAGGTCCAGTGGTGGTGGAGGAGGTCGTTCCTGGTTGGGAAAGGCTGATATAATATAGAGGGACAACAATGTCTTGTTGAAGACATCATGGATTTTTCAGGTTGATAGTAGTCAAAGTTTATATGCACTTGCATCGACTTTTGAGGTGATTTGGAAGAGATCTGTTCACTTATCAGTGAGTTTTTATTTGGGCTGTGGCAGATGAAGGTTTGTGGTGTCCAGCCATACTTTATCATTGATGGAGTAGTTATAAGCTGGTCAATAGTGTTTGTTGTACTGTGCCTTCATGGTTGTTGCAGCTTTCTCCAGTGCTACCTTTGTTTCCATATGAATTTTTATCATTGTGGAGGCAAAATCTGAGGAGGCTGGTGTAGTTGTTTGATGTTGTTCTATTTGGGTGACATTTAGGTGTCATCCGTGATTGACGAAGAATAGGGTTTTCCCTATTGCTGAATGGACTTGGTTATTGTGTTGGAAGGTGGTGAGTGCTAACCATTTCACCCAGTCATCTTGTTGATAGTTTATGAAGAGTTAAAGATATTTTTCAACTTCTTGGTTTGCTTATTCTGTTTGTCCATTGGTTTGTGGGTGATATACAGTAGATGCATTATGCTTGATACACAGAAGTCAGTAGAGATCATTCAAGAACTTGGAGACAAATTGTGGTTCTCTATCCAAAATAACAACTTGAGGCATGCCATACTTTGCATATACTTCATCTTGTAGGATCTTTGTCTATCCTTCCAAGGTCAACTCGATCGAATAGACAATCAGAATGATCACTTTTGAGAAGTGATTGACTATAATGATGATTGCATCATACCCATTACAGTCTGATAGTCCAGTGATCATATCGATCAAAATGTGGATCCATGGGGATGACAGGACCTCATTCGGGTGCAGGAGGGCAGCCTGGGCCTGCATTGATGATTTACCCCATTGACAGGTTTTGCATGCTTTGATATATGTAGTAATGTCATTGCCCATTTTGGGCCATCAATAGTTTTGCAGGACCAACTCTTTGGTCTTAGCTACTCTGGAATGACCAGCCATGGCATGATCATGGCAAGTAGTGATGATCTCACCTCAGAGCCTCTGATCTCTTGGAATGTAAATCCATCCATTATAGCAGATTAATCCTCTGTCCTTTGTCATTCCTCATTTGTGATTAAGAGAGGGGTCCACTCATTGGTCCCACTTGTAGCTATCATAAGTCATGCTTTTTATACATTTGTGAATCTCCTCTTTTGTTGGCATTATCATAGCCCTAAAATGCTTAGGGTATAGTAATGTCACTCTCTTATTATCTGCCTCTTCTTGATCATGATCAGCTCTTCAGCTGAGCAGATTGGCTTTTTTGTTAGCTGTTTCTGCTTTATAATAGAGCATGTACTGATATTGGCTTAGTTCTATAACCCATCAAGCTTGTTGGTGGTTTAACTTCTGAGGCTGCCAGAAGTATCAGAGGTTTTGGTGGTTGGTCCAAATTTTAAAGACCTTGATAGCTCTGATCAGATAATGTCACCATTCTTCAAGGGTGAGCATAATGGCAAGAAGCTCTTTGTCATATATTTCATAATTTCATTCCATTATAGTGAGTGCCTTTGATAGGAATGCAACTGATTGCTATTTACTGTTCTGCTCCTGGGATAATACAGCCCCAATGGCCCCCTCACTTGAGTCCGCCTTGACTCGAAACTTTCCTCCTTGTGTTAGGATAGTGAGTATGACATCCTCAGCTAATCACCTTTTTAGGTTGTTGAAGATAGTTTGTTGAGAGGGTCCTCAGTTCCAGGAGGTGTTGCCAGTCAGCTGTGTCATTAGGCATACTATCTTGCTGTAATCTCAGATGAAACATCAGTAGAAGTTTGTGAAACTGAGGAATGATTATAACTCCTTTTTCTTGATCAGTTCTAGCCATTCAATCACTCCTGCAACTTTGATGGGGTTCATTTGAATACTTCCCTCTGAGATGATGACCTCTAGGTATTCCATCTTGAGTATCTTGAACTCACACTTCTCGGCTTTGAGGAATAATTTGTGCTTTCTCATAAGGGCTAGTACTTGTCATACTAGCTTTCTGTGTTCCTCTTTTGTCTTGGACATGATTAAGATGTCATCAAGATAGATGGTGACTTTTCCAGTGGCGATGAGGTCTTTAAATATGTCATTCATCATCCACTGGAATGTGGCTGGGGAGTTGGTGAGCCCAAAGAACATGACTATTGGTTTAAATAATCTGTGATTCATCTGGAATGCTGCCTTCCACTCATCTCTCTCTTTGATGCAGACATTGTTGTACTCCCACTGGATGTCAAGTTTCATGTGGTATTTGGTGCCCTGAAGCTTATCCATTAGCTTGAAAATCAGCAGAAGAGAATATTGGTTTTTAATGATCATCTCATTAAGCTTTCAGTAGTCTTGGACTGGCCAAAGCTTGCCATCCTTCTTTTTGATGAAGAAGAAGGATGATGCCATGGGGGATTGGAGAGTCTGATACACTCATTGGACAAGTTTTCATCTAGAAACTTGTTGAGTTCTTACTGCTCATTGATGCCAAGAGAGTAGGTTTTACAATCCAGGTTGGTGTTTGCATTCGGGATGAGCTCAATAGCATGGTCCCAAGGTTTTGGTTTTGGCAACTCATCAAAACTTTCTTTTTTGAATAGGTCTTTAAAGTCATGTGCCCAGTCAGATACCATTTCTTCAAAGGTTTTTTCCACTTTTTGCTCATTGGCTTTGGTGGCCAAGTCATTAGTGTGATGCATCACCTGGATGTGTAGTTCCTGCTGGAGGTCTACAGCAAGGATTGTTTCTCTGTCCTCTATTTCCTCATCTCACTGGTCCTCAGGATCCTCATCAGGAAGTTTGAATAGGATCTTCTGATATTGGCACCTTGCGAATGTGATTCACTCAGTTTTCCAATTGATCAGCAGATTGTGATGTATAAGCCAGTCA